GGGGGGGGGGGGGGGGTCAGAATGAGGGCATCGTATTTTTTTCCTCTGACCATTCGCACCCAATTTCCCGAAGATCATAGTATCGTAAGAGCTATTGCTTGAAATTCCAACTAGAAGCCAAACAAGCAACTTACGAGCAAAAATCGGGTCAACAGTAGCTATACCACCAGGCCCACCCAACATGATATTTAAGCTCTTATCCGACGATGTTGACGATTTGATCTACGCAAATACGCAATACGAAGCACTCGAGTACTTCGAAGTACACCCGAGTGTTTCCCATGTCAGGTTCGGTGCTAATCTTGCCGACGGGTCTCGTAACCCTTCCGAACCTCCGCAATGAAGTTCATGTGTGGGGTGGCATACTGCACAGCTGGATGCTGTCCTGGCTGCTGTGAATATTCATGCTGTGATTTCGTTGGCTGGCGATCTTTTCTCAAAGCATACCCTTCCATTTTGGCCTAATGTAGTAAAACTCCCCGATGGTCAGGCCATCAATACACTTCTAGGAATTTTGGTATCTGGAGAAACGACTGCTGCACGAGTTGTGCTTCGTCACATTGATTTCGAGTTCCAACGGCTCTGCAATCTCAACCCCCGGGGTTTCTTCAGCGCATATGCAAAGTCTTTTGTAACCCCCAGAGTTTGTCAAAAAAGCAACACACAGCTGCCACAACGATTTGCCCCAGGTTATTGACGTAGTACATTGGTACGTACTGGTCTCGCACATGGCGTCTGAAACTTGGAGACTTCGAAACAGTTTTCCAATCCATGGTTGCAAGGGCATCATCCTTCGATGGCCTATTAGTGCGAACGGCGTATCACAGCGGCAGCTAGTTGGGTTGTGAGAAGCTGCGATGTTCGCGTCAATCGTAGATCAGCCGCGTTTCTCCTGTGTGGCCACTCGGATGGCGATACCGAATGTGCCGCTCAAAGCACATAAGTCCCGGTGACGTTTTGAGCTGTCGGTTGAAAGCAAACGGCGAAATCGGTGGATAGAACATGTACGAGGTACGAGAAAGGTTGCACGAGAAATGAAGGAAAGCTCAAGATACGCCTGTACTGCTGAGCGATTGGACTTTCGAGTAGCACGCTTTCCAGCCCTATGCAGGTGTATGGTCAGCTCTTGACAACAACTTGTACGCAAGAGTAATTTCTGATTCCTATTCGCCGGACCGGATTTCGTGTGTGTGCTGAGGTGTGGTTATTGTAAGGCCGTCGAACGTAGTCCAATGATTTCATATCCGTCCCATCACCTGCACGTACAAGCAGGGGTCTGATTCCCGCGTTGGTGGTCGCCGTTCACAGTCCAGAGGAACGCCGAACACCGTACGATAAAGCCCGACTCGCTATCCTGTAGGATGCTCGCCATCTTTTTCGCAACAATGATTTCGAGGAAATGTGGAGATGATGAATCTACATCAAATAAGCTGCGTTGGAGCCATCCACTCTCGCAATCCGCTTGACTAGACAAAGACACCCTGACCCCAACCCCAACATTCCAAACGAATGCATCTTGGTTCCAACATTAGACCATCAAGGAAGCACCGGCCTCGGTATTCATAAGAGAAGTTGTATATTTACGAATTGATCCAACGAGCGTCGCAAGAGTGATGTCATGCCGTTGAACGCCTCATGAAAGAAAAATAATTGAACGAGAATTGAGAATACTTGTACGAGGTCCGGAATGTTAGTCAAGACCTTGAAGGCGTCCCTAGCCGTACTCAAGTGTTCCTTGTTGAAGTCGTCGTCAACAACGCAACCAGGATAGTCTCCTTCCCAGAGGAGAATGACTGGGTTCACGTCAATTCCAACAACTAGACCTTCTGTAGTCGAATGTACTGCTGGCCAGAAGGGCAAAAGTTTTGAAAGAGTAGACTTGAGAGAAAACATCATGCTATAGCCTGTCTACCGGAGCTCGCTTGAGTCGGGGCTTCTACATTATCTCCCAAAGTAAGAGGGGGCAAAAAAAGGAGAAACAACCAGGCAGAGCACCCACAAGATGCAAGAAACATATCAATGCTATAATACTTGAATAGCAGAAACGTACAACGTAATTTTTGTGCCTCTTTTCTGCTCGTTAAAATGGAGAAATGCATGCTGTACAAGAATAGTCTTTGGGTATAAAGGATTGACTTTGAATAAAGTCCAAACGGCTAACAACCGCTCATTCACTACAAGCCGAGATCAGAATCTATCTCTTGTCTCCGGCTCCTCGAGGTATAAAACAAAACGCCCCTTGCTCATGCTGAATCCGGATGATGAATAGAAAAATAGCGTTCCATAAGAAGAGATCCCAAAACGCTATTACGCACAAGGTAAAGAAATACAACAACTCCCTCAATTGCCATAGTCTATTCCAGACTGGTCGAGTTTGTCATCCTGTAAAACACTAGAGTAGTAATTAGCAGGCGCAGTATCAAGGTCTCTGCGAAAACTCACGAGCATCGTTTTGCCAAGATACCCTCGCCCCCATTCTCCAAATCGATATTAAAAATGTAAAAACCGCCGTCGCTTGTCACAACCATCACCTGTGGGCTACTACTGCTCATAGCAACCACACTGCGTAGAGGCCCACCCGCAGAGTTCAAGCCCGGTTCCCCCTTTGGCAATTTGATGAAAGCAAAGTCTCGCTGAGGTTCCCACATTTCGGTGACAGCTTGAGGCAGATAGCCACCCACAACCCCAGCAACACTCTTGCCCATCATTTGCGACGACCTCCGGATCATGCTGCCAAAGGTACCGCTTGGTTTGCGAGCAATTCCCGGTGGATCCACAGGCTCACCGTTGTCAGCTGTAGGAGACTCAGCACCGCTATCATAACTTCGAGAGCGGGCACGGTTCCACCTTTCGTTCGCGGAGCTTGGAGAGTCCGGTGACTTTGAGACGTGGGCCTCAAGTTTAAAAATATGGACAGTGTCGGTGGTCGAGGAGACACACAACAGTGTCGAGCTCAAATTGAATGACATACTGTAAATTGTCGTTGGATAGGTACCTCTTCGAAATTGGTACACCTTTTGCCCTTTTGGCAAGGCAAAGACTCTGATGACGGTCCCCTTTTCAGACGCAGTGGCGAGTAACGTGCCATCGTTATTCAGAGCGATACAGGACAACGGAGCGCGATGAGCCTCGACGACATTCACAGGCTTTAATTTCAGTGTATCAAATATCATAACATGGCCAGTTGTCTGTTCCACGAAACCCGTCAAGGAAGGGGCATGTGTGGGCCTTTTGTCTCCGGTGTCTTCACGAGCCTTTGGCAACGGGTATGCGATGTAACAATTCTCGGACGAGGGGGCAAGCGCACATATAGCATTCGGATTTGGCGAGGTGGCGATGGTGTGAAGTAGAGTCATGTTCGATATATCGTAAAGATAAATCTCCTCCTCCAATATCACCGCGAGTCGTTTTCGGTTCAGCCTGACCGCCAGAACAGCAGTCGGAAAAGTCAATTGGCAAATTATTGAGGATCGCTATCAGTGGGATCAGCATCTTGCACGTGTCGGGATATCTGTAGAGCTTACCTTTGTGTTTTGGATCATCAAATGTCGCGGGGAAAGGATAAGTGCCACCAGCGACGTGGCAAAGAGCATTTCAATAATGGCAACATTGCCCTCATCGCTGCTGAATATCTTGGAGAATGGATCGGTGTGGTATATGCGAAAACCCTTGGAAGTACCTAGAGCCAGGTTAGCAGGCAGATGGCGTGTTCTGTCGCGAGCGGCTCCTTACCCACAGCTAGGCAGCTGTAGTCCTGATTGAATGTGACAAAGTTCATGGCCATTATGAAGGGTTTGTCGGCAAAGCAAACGTTGTATCCGATGATAGACTCTTCGTATGCTGGGTATGGCGTTGTTCGTGTTGCGCAAGATGCCAGGACACGAAGGGACCTGAGGCCCGCTGGTTGTGATGAGTTTGGAGAGCCGAGGTGTTATTCAAGAGTACGGTGGTCGGCGGTGAGGGCGGACTTTGCGGTCTCGTGGATAGCAGTGGTCGGCATGGACAATGGCACAGCGTCGCGTAGGTGTTTGTGTGGTTTAGGAGTTGAGTACGAGTACTTGAGTATGGATCTGGAATCTCGAGGAGAGGGGAGGGAATCGCGGGGCAGGCAGCTGATGCAGGTGTTCTGTAGAGCTGCCATAGGTAGTTGGAGCTCCAAAGCCACCTTTACCCACCCAGGCACCCCCACATACGAACGGACAGGGATACGATTCACCCAGAAAAGAATTCAGAATTCAGCACCACAACACCTTCACCAAAACTCACGATACACTCATCGCTGTCCTGCACTGCGGTCTCTGTCATGACATGAGCCACCATATCTTTGCACCACCTTTCACCAGTACCTCACCCTCCTCATAAAATAAGTCTGCTTCCCGCAATGACGGCAACCAAGTTGGGCCTCCCAAAACATGGGAAGGTAGCAAGCTCGTTAATCCAGGATGATTTGATCATGGGAGTGAGTGTATTTCGTAATTATCCCAGCTTTGCGGAAGTATGTTGACTTTCTGTGTAGACGAACAACAGTAGCATCGTATCAAAACGCAGTGTTGAGCGCCTCTATTTTGCCAAAGAATCTCATTTCTTCCGACATTTTGTCAAGAAGCCACAGCGGCGCTCTCCCCTAATCAATCGCGGCTATTGGCTTCGCATGAAGGCAGTTGATCACGTAGTTCGCCAATTTCTGGAACAGCCGAATGAGAAGCGTAAAGTTGTAGTCAACTTGGGCTGTGGATAGTGAGTTATATGTCCTCGCTCTCCTACGTCGCAGCTAGTGCTGACGAGCAGCGATCCTCTCCCCTGGCAATGTCTGCATCTTTACCCAGAAGCATCTAAAGGTGCTGTTTTTGTCGATGTGGATTACAAAGACCTCATGCTTAGAAAACGCGAGTCGGTGGTTAAAACACCCGAGCTCCAATCCATGTTCGCCAACATGGAAATTCCCGAGAGTGGTGATGTTTTTCTACGCAGTGATGAATACTTACAAATTGGGTGTGATTTGAGAGATCTTGAGCGTTTGAATATGACTCTAAGGGCGGCAGTGGACATTGAGAACTGCACAGTCCTCTTTGTTGCCGAAGTATCAATTACATATATGGATTTTGAGTTTGCAGACAAACTAATCAGATGGGCCAGTACTCTTCCAAAATGTACGTTTGCCTCAGATTCACTACGCGAATGGGCGCTAATAAAGTAAAGCTCGCTTTTGTCTCCTAGAGCAGATTCTTCCAGACGGGGTTGACCACCCTTTTGCTCAAACCATGATGGCCCATTTTGACAAGTTGAATACACCGCTAAGAGCTGTGATGAGATATCCCACTACGGATGCTCAGAGTCAGCGTTTTCTAGGCTTGGGTTGGAAGAGTGTTGCAATAAGAAATCTATGGGAGCTCTGGAGCTCAAGTGACTTTCTCTCTCCAGAAGAACGACGAGCCCTAGACACAATTGAGCCTTTCGATGAGTGGGAAGAATTCGCCCTATTTGGGTGTCATTATTTCTTGCTTGTAGCAGACACTTCATTGCCCTCGGCCACCTCAGAAATCTCCGCACGTCTCTGTAGTTCTGAGAATGTGACCGGGCCGCAGACAGGAGAAGTCCAAGTCGTATTTTCTGCAAATCCAAAGGGGCAGGGCTGTAGGCGCTTTGCCGCAGCATTGCCGATCAGAGGCCCAAAGCGGGCTCAGAAAATGGTTGGAAATTTTGCCGGCATGGGCTTGAAGACAAGAACGGACTCGTTTGATGTGTATGCTCAGCAAGATAGCCAGCTACAAAGCTTCTCTAAAGGTTCGTCTGATTATCCCTCGAGTCGAATGTGCCATACTATCACAGACCTCGGGGAATGGGGATCTCTGCTTGTCGGCGGGAGAGCGTCTCCAGATAAAGCCCTGAAAGATTGTTGGCTATACCATAAATGGGTCAATGTTTGGGAACGAGTTGATGATCTCCCTCAGCCACTTTACCGCCATCAGGCAGTTAATCTGGGACAGGGATGTCTTCTTGTATCAACCGGCCGCGTCAATTCATGTACCATATCTCATGAGTATCTGGTGTGGAGTCGTGAAAATGGTTGGATTCAATGTGACGTCGAGGGCGTCCATAGCGATGAAATTCCTCGTGAAACTTTCGGTTTAGTCTTCGCTGCATCGGAGCGGCCATGTTCGTCAGGTTTCCGAGCTGGGTTTCTCACAGGTGGAATATCGGAAAATTCAGTTATACAACAAGACTTGTGGCGTTGGGAAATATACGATTTCACAACCAAAGTAAGTGCCAACGTTCCCATGCAGTCAAATACCGCTTACTCTTCTTAGCACCCACAACTTCGTTTCACTGCTTCGCGTCCCCCTGATGAAGTACACGGCAGAAACATCTTGGCTCGGTTTGGTGCAAACGTTGTCATTCATAAGGGGGATACGTACATCATGGGTGGAGTCATAAAAGATTGCTTACTTTGTGCGTCTGAGGAACTTTGCTCGATTAACCCTATTGCGCCTAATGAGTTGACGGTAATGCCATTATTTGTCCCCTCTGTTCCCAGGCCAATGTTGATCGGCCATACCATGTTTTCAACTGAATCTTCTTTGATCATAATGGGTGGTTCAGCAGTTTGTTTTTCATTCGGGTCGTTCGTAAGTCATTCTCAAAGACTCGTCTATTCTTAGCATTTCAATTTCGTTTATACTTTCAATGCTTCGGGATCTTTAAGTGATGTATCACACTAACATTTTACAGTGGAATGCGGGATCTTACACTATCTATCTCACAGCGAAGGACTTTGAATTACCAACTAAAGTACCAACAGAACCTTGGGCTTACACACAGACGAACTCTTCCAAGCCAGTTGTTTCCACCTCCATGGGTCAGGGGAACTCGGTCAAAACAACGCCTGAACTGGTTCAAGTACCTCGAATCAAAATCCACAATTCTGACGAGTTTCAAGCACTTCTTAAGACGGGGTCTCCTGTGATTCTAGAAGGGTTGGAGTTGGGTTCTTGCACCAAACAGTGGACCCCAAGGTTCCTCAAAGAAAGAATCGGTGAAGACAGAGAAGTATTGTTCACTATCCCAGTCCAAAAACCCGAAGGCTGACATCTTCAGGTAATTATCCATCAAAGCACAGAAGAACATATGAATTTTAAGACCAAAAACTTTGCGTATATAAACAAGCCGTTTGGAGAATTTATAGATTCTATCGGGAATGGCGAGAGACTTTACTTGCGCTCTCTTTCTGCCGAGAATGCCAAGGAAGTTCCTGCCTGTTTGGAAAAAGACTACCCTTCCCTTGCGTCTGATTTTCAGATTCCAAAAGAACTGGAATACGTCCTCGGCAATGCACACTCTTCCCCACTCCGTATATCTGGCCCCGTAAATATGTGGCTACACTATGACGTAGGCCAAACTCCAATTCTTGATATCTAACTTTACTGACATGCAAGCAGGTCATGGCAAATATACTTTGCCAGATTCGAGGTCAGAAAACTCTACTGCTTTTTCCGCCTTCTGATGTTTTACATTTTGATTTTGAGCCTGGGGCCTCGAGTTCAAGCACAAACGTTTTCAAAGAGCTCCAAACGTTGTACGGGACACACCCTCAAGAGGCGTTGCTCAATGAGGGAGATGTTCTATTTCTACCATCATTGTGGCTCCATGCTGCCTCACCAATGTCAAATCTGAGCGTCGCAGTAAACGTCTTCTTTCGGGATTTACAACAAGGCTACGCTGCTGGCAAAGACGTTTATGGTAACCGAGACCTCCAAGTATATGAGAAAGGACGGCAAGACATTGAAAAGGTTCTAAAGTCATTCGATCGCGTACCTAGTAGCAGTGCCCGCCAGTTTTATCTGCAAAGATTAATAGCTGAGCTGCAGCAGAAATGCACACGATCGTGATACTATCCATTCTTCTAGGATACTCGAGTAAGATACCCCACGTATGGATAAGGCAAAGCCGGGGAGGAGGGGTGAGCAACGTGCAGAATTTCCCGAGGTACTGCCGTAACATAGAAGCGACCGCACTTTTGGCCACAAATCTACAGTTCGTTACACATTTGCGGTCGTTCAAAATGCCATGTGGACAGAGTTTGTGTGATCTTTCTCGGTCGGACGGACCGTCCTGGCGAAACTTCGTGCTTGGCAACATCTTTTATGGATCCAACAGTGGGCAAGTTGTAAGCGGGGATTTAGCTGCAGTTATATTCTCTCCACCAGATAGCAGGATGGCCAATAGGAATTGTCGATTGGCTCACACGAGCTTGAATTCTCGGTTTATCTTTGGATCGATTGCGGATGTCTACTTCCCCAGAAGGAAAATATGTACAAATCTCCTTTTGTGGTGTATCGTCTGATATCTCCGTTTACCTTTGCTGCTTCCTCAACTTCTTCTGTGATTCACGCCAGCAATTCTAGCATTGTAATACTTCATTTGAAACCGTCCAACTCACTCAGTCCAGCAATATCAATTGCAATTGAAGACGCAAACTTACACCGTAGGTATATATAACCTAAAAACTCAAATCTTAGAAGACAAGCGAGAGAAAAAAAGTCATTCCTTTGACCATGGCAGGCGATACCATAATCGCGGTCCCCGCACCCAACGCAACATTACCAGATCTTGGAAGTTTCAGCAACAGTAGTAGCTCAGAAACAGATCCTCTCCTCATGCCCAGCAACGAAGAAGACTCGGATCGGGAATTATGGAACGAACCGAGGGTAAATGCTTACCGGTATCTGTCGACACTTTATGTGTTTACGACGATGGGAATGAATGATGCTGCTTATGGCGTATGTATCTCCTCCCTTATTTTGTTCAAGAATGAAGCGAGAGTAAGGCCTCAGCTAATTGATGCGTTTTTGGGATAGGCACTTATTCCTTACGTGAGGATCCTTTGCATCTCTTATCGATATATGGCGAATGAAGTCTAATCACAGAAACCCAACCCAGCTGGAAGAATACTACGACATAAACTACACAACAATATCACTAGTCTTCCTCGCTCCTTTTATAGGGTATACGGTAGCAGCCATCATCAACACCAGACTTCACATGAGATTTGGTCAGATTGGGGTTGTTACTATCGCTCCGTAATTTTTCCCTTCCCCCTTTACTCCCTTCTCCTCTTTTCACGAGAAACAAACAATGGGTTCTGACAAGGGGCAGTGTGGCGAAACTTATCGTCTTTGGGGTTACCAGTGTGAAACCCCCTTTTGCGGTCCTGCCTTTGGTTTTCATACTGAGTGGCTTTGCGAATGGGATTGAGGATGGTTGCTTTAATGCTTGGGTGGGGAATATGAAGCATGCTAATGAGTTAGTTGGGTCCCTTCTCTTTGATTTTCTTTTTCTTCTTCGTCATTTGAAGGGCTCTCGATGTGTGGAAGTGTTCAAGGCCGCTGCCGAAGAGTCGTTAATTTGGGCTCGGTTGACAACCGAGTTTCTTCCGAACTGTCACTTTGAAGAGTCCACTTTTCTTGCACAGTATGAAGTGTGTTTCAATTACGCCTTGGTCTAGATCACTTGGTTTACAAGAACTGATTTTGTACCAATCTAGACTTTTGGGATTTCTTCATGGAGCATATGGACTCGGAGCTACGATTAGTCCTCTTCTGGCAACCGCAATGGTCACAAAATGGGCACAACCATGGTGGGCATTCTACTACATAATGTAAGTCTCCTCAACTCCCAACCACACATCCAGAAAACCAACAATCCCCCAGGACAGCCCTCTCCCTCATCGAACTCATAATCTGCATCCTCTCCTTCCGCAAAGCAACCGGAGCCGTCTACCGCGCCTCCCACACCCCCAGCGACCCCTCCAATACCAAAGAACCCAGGGGCGCAACCAAAGAAGCAGTCCTCAACCCAATAACCTGGATCTGCTCCTTCTTCCTCCTCTGCTACGTCGGTGTCGAGGTCTCCCTCGGCGGCTGGCTCGTAACCTTCATGCTCAAAGTCCGCCACGGCTCGCCCTTTTCCTCCGGCATCGTCGTCACGGGCTTCTGGCTAGGCCTCACCCTCGGCCGCGTCACACTCGGCTTCATCACCGGACGCGTGGGCGAAAAACTCGCCATCACAACCTACCTCCTTCTCTCCATCGCCTGCGAGCTCTGCTTCTGGCTCATCCCTTCCTTCCTCTCTTCCGCCATCTTCGCCGGATTTCTGGGGTTCTTCCTAGGACCGCTGTTTCCGGCTGTCATTGTGGTTGCGACGAAGATCCTACCCAGACGGTTGCATATTAGTACGATTGGGTTTGCGTCGGCGTTTGGGGGTGGAGGTGCGGCGATCTTCCCGTTTGCTGTGGGGGCGTTGGCGCAGGCGAGGGGGGTGTGGGTTTTGCAGCCGTTTGCGTTGGGGTTGTTGGTGGTGATTTTGGGGCTTTGGTGTGCGTTGCCTGGGGGGTTTAGGAGGGATGGTCTTGAGAAGGCGAGGTTGAGGAAGGGGGAGGAGGGGGAGGGGAGTGTTATTTCTGCTTAGGGTGCGTTCTTGGGAGGGAGGGGTTTGGTTAATTTGAACTATTGTTACTGAAGTGATGGTTTGAGGATTAGGATATTGGGTTTTGGATGGGGTTGATGGGGGGTATGGCATACTAATGATAAAGGGAACACATGAATACACAGCGACGATTTTACTAGAAATTCAGTGGTTTGGGGTTTGGTTGGAGTCCTATTTACATATACATCAATTATCCGAATAATACATGGTCAGTTGGATAAATAAACATTTTAAGCGAAGAAACCAAATCGTTGATCCGGCTGTCTTTTACTCCGCTTCAACTTACCAAACTGCAACTGTACCAAACGCATATTTTAAGTTCTTGGATTAATGATAAAAGGGGAATCGAATGAGTTAGCAGGGTGCTTTCGATGTGAAAGTTGTCGTTGTCGTTCAAGGCGCATGTTACAAAATAACCCGCGTCTGAGGGGTTTACACAACTAAAATCATCTAAGAAAGATAAATCTCGCAACAACAATTCAATCGGCCCTCATCGCAGAATTGACGCAAGCAAGGCTCCCAAATTTCAAAATGCTTCATACCACAGATTAGGAAGCAGACTTCTTAGTAAAGATTTCTCGATAAAGAACAACAAGCAATGCATGCACACTTTCAATCCCCAAAAGACTCCCTGCTATCCCAGTCTATATCAGCACTCATCCCAACCAGTACATGATTGGTAATAAAAACCCCCTCCAAACAGAAAATACCCATCTTCCCTTCCCTCTCATAAATAAAAACCAAACACAATACCACCAATTAAAAAACCCCAAAACCATCCATCCTTCTCACGACACAACGTCCACTCGAGGTAGCCTCTACCCAAACACTGATAACACACCACAGAAAACCCAACAGATCTTTATCAACTTCAATTGCCAGTAGTGATTCCCAAAATCGAGGGAAACCAAAAAGTAGATCAAGACAAAACATGACTAGTCAATACCACAAAAAATACCTTTTTAACCTGCTTATTATTAGTACACACAACACCTATAAACAATTTCTTCACACTCACGGGGGCTACTGTATGAAGGGATACCGCATACTGTACACAAGTAATCCTACAGTACAATTACCCTCTCTCGACATCCCGGGAAAAAAAAAGAAACACCCGCTTTTCAGCATCGGGAAACAAAGTCGGAAAAAAAATGTCGATCAAACATCTTCTGTATTCTCATGCCGAGAACCATCATCCTTCATCCCTACCGAGTAGACTTGTACTGGAAAGATTTATGAAGAGAGATTTACTTTGTATAGTTCTCAGAGATGGACTTTAATAAGAGTGGATAAAGGAAAGAGAGACGATCTTAATAGCATCTCAAGTTCATAATCCGTGAGAGCAAGATACCGATACCGTGTCAGAGGCCTGTGGAAGGAAGTATAGTAACCAGCGACAAATAACCGACAAAAAGTCAAGTTATTACTCGCCATCTCAGAACAGCATATCAACAACGAACCTGAGAGAGATTTGGCGACCTCTTTGTAACACCTTCGGTTTTTCTCTCTGAAATACTCTCAAAATTCCACCAAACTGAGTAGTTGGATGTGGAAAGAGTACCCAGAGTCATGTGTGTACTTTCAATGACTCTCGAACATTGGCTATTGTGCTGTAATAGTATCACAACCGTAGAGAACCCGGCATTGTAGAAGTATCTGTATCCACAAACCAAGGAGATGCGAATACTTAATCAATCCAGCACGCACAGCTACAGTACCATCGTACGTCATGAAACAGTCCAAAGATCAGGTCATATATACAAAGGGGGCGAGGTTGGATCTATATGCATTGTGGAGAGGTATGGCTCAAAGCTCGCATGTAAAATCTTACTCGTACTGGTGTCAGAACTTGAGATGCTCAGAGGTTCAGAGTAGATGAGATAACAAAGCTTGTGTGGCACTAGTAACAGCAATCCCAGTATTGCCGCATTGTCGATTCTCGGCGAAATAACAGCCAGGAAATATATGGCTTGGTCAAGGATATTTTGGAGGAGGCATGGGATCTTCATGGAAACACATACACCCCTGCTTGGGCCATCCATCCCAATGGTAGCAGCGGGGGATCTGCAGCAAAACAACATCAGCCAGGACAACAGCAAGAGATTCGTCGTAGACACCTTGATCTGGAGGAAGATCTGGAGCTGTTATTCAAGACCTTCTTAGCCTTTTCTTTTTTTGGAAGACAAATTAAGAAAGGAAGAGGAAATTTTTTCTCTGGAAGGGTGAGCGAACTGCTTGGACCAACGATCTGCATCGCATATGACCTCCACGTACAGTACCCCTCTTTGAGCCGGCAGAAACAACTGTCTCCACTCCCCACCCAAACTCAAAATGAACGTCGTCATATCAAAGTATCCATTGCTCTCCATCCATGGCCACGTAGAGCATTGCTACAGTACCAGTCGAATGATGGATGTGATGAGTAGTCGAGCCGTCGTGCAATTGATGTAGTGTGACCTCTTTCCTCTTTCTCCGAATTTTGTTGGAGGGGAAAGTCGTAATGTTTGGAATATTAGGTGATTGGATGGATTGGGAGGATCTCTGGATTGGATTAGAGCATGGGATCCATGGCAGCTGTCTGCTACTGTACTGTGCCCCGCCTGTGAAGAACTCCAGGTCCCGCTTGGGATTTTGGGATTTCGGGTGGCCTGGACTGCCATCAAATGAGGGGAAGATGAAACTCGAGAATGGCATAACATGACACGATGGTGTGGAGGCACTGGAGGTGTCGAGTTTAAGTTCTGGATTGAGCAAGAGAATTGAGGTAAGTTTGAGATGGGAGAATTGTTGAGGAGGGGGAGGACGTGCTGTTTGCTTGTTCTGGTCATTGCGTTTCGGGCAATTCTGAAATAGAGTGCAGAATGATGAAATACATTGAAACGATGTCGCACATGGCAGCACCTCGAGGCCTACTCGGTACGAGTACACAGCACCTACACAGCTCCTGCAACCGCTTGAGAAGACCTACAGTACTGCCACTGCACAGTCTCTTCGGAGGATACGATATCGTCACGTAGGGAGTATATCCATAGTATGAGATGGCAGACGGGCTGGTGGTGATAGTGATGGGAAGGGTGTGGATGTGGATGCGATGTGGGTGGGTGGCAGGAGCTGCGGTTTGGATGCATCTTGAGTGCATCTTGAGCATTGAGCAAGTGATTCATGGCCGTTCATTGGGTGTAGGGAAAGTTGGGAGCATATTGATGCACGGCCGTGAGCCACTAACAAAACCTTGGGCGTACTAGCGTTGCAAGCGTCACAAGCGTCACATTAGCGGCCAGCAGCGATCCTACCCACTCCCTAGAAGAAGTGGAGCACGGCATCAAGCGGCCACCCCAGGCCAGGGTCCAAGGTTCTCATTCACAGTCTTCACTAGGCAGATTCATCACTCATCGCCGTCGAGAACCAGAAGAATACTGTATCTTCAGAAGGGATTACCTTATTCTGAAGATAGGCATAGGATATGCTTGATAGATACCCCAAAGTCAATGACACGCGAGGCATGCTCGTATGCTCCCACATTCCAGTTCAGTGCCTGCGCCGGCGCTGCCCTGCCCAGCGGCTTATCTCCCTGATAAGCCTTCTTTGCCCCATCTCCCTAGTTCCCTGCGGGTGCTGGGCTGGTGGCTCCATGGCGCCCCTCCTCCTCGCATTCCCGGGGTTGCATTGCTCTCGCTTCCACCCTCTGCAATTATTGCTACGGAATACTACAACTACTTCTCTCCCATCAACACACCTCCTCTCTTGTAAACAACACACTCATCTCCTGCCCTCACTCTCACTCCCACCCCCACCAGCCAATCCACCATCATTTGCGATACACCACTTGGCGAGCATATGAGTGGCCCTTCCACCATCGCCTATTCTTTCCCTCAAAGGAATTCTCATCCTCCCCACGCCTCGCTCTAACCAACTTCAACTCCAACTTCCACTTCCAACCCACGCCCAACACCACTCCTCGCCTCCTCGCCTCCTCTCAACCCTAGAACCACGAGACGTCGCCTCTTGCGGTTTCTCTCCTCGTCGTGACTTGACCCTGGATTTTCGTAAATCCTTCCGATCAACAACTCCACTTTCAACGAACCAGAACAATTTGGTCTCGCTTCTCTTACATGCCGCGCCGGGTGGTACAGCAAGCGCCTTGAAGATAAAGATCGCTCAACACGAAGAAGACTGCGCTGTTTTCCGTTCAACATGACGACCATCGTCCTTCCTCGGCCGATTCCCACAGGCCATACCCGTTCCACTACTCCAACCCTCGTCCTCGAAACCATCAACACCCCTCCAAGCGATTACCGTGGTGGAAGGAATCTCCCCATATTTCCCCCAATCGAAGTCCCCTCGGATAAGCCAGATTCTCCTCCTCAATCGCCTCCCTTTGCTCAGGAAGAACAAGAATGTTGCTCGCTTCTCTATCCTCCCAAACCATATAAAGAACGTATTTTGGGAGGTTCAAAGGTGTATGAGATCGGCCCTGCGGGAGTTGCGGCTGCTCTCGACCACAATGCTCGTCAACCGCTGCCTGACCCATCCCTCGTATTTCCGTGGTTCCATGGTCTTCATCCAAGCAATCACATCCAGCAAGCATTCTTCATTGCGCGTCGCCGAAACTTGCGGAAGACTCCCAAATGTTTGCGAGGCATCACCATAGTGAAGGCCGGTGGAGACTTGTCCTGTGCGAGACTAAAAGGTGCAATTGCTCCTGAGGAGTTTCTTATACAAGGAGCCGATGGTCCTCCTGCCTTTCGGGAAGTCGATCCCAAGGAAGGCTTCTCCGTACGCAACTTTCAGATCCAAGCCGCAAAATCTGCCATGGTATCGGATATCATTGTGTATGGAGAAGATTCCGAAGCCATGAAGCTCGCAAAGGACGTTGCCATTGCTCAAAAAGCCTGGAGGGACTCACACAAAGATAAAGGCCAAGAAATTCCACGATACAACACGTTTCTATGCTCGGGAAGATTCAGTGATTTTGAAGAAAAACACCCAGAAATTGTGGCTACCAATTCTAGGGGTCGCTTGACAGGAAAGGTCATGGATTTCTTTCATCAAGAAAGAATTGAGATGTGTTCCATGACCAAAGCTTCCGAGATACACCACAATGTCTGGCTGGGACCAACTCCGGATCACTCCATTGACCCATCTTTACTGGGCGATGAAGAGGAGAAATTCGATATCATGATTGAATGCAGTGACTTGGGCCATATGAAGCCAACAATTTTGCAAGCCATTGCGGAAAATTCCATTTTCGACAGGCAACCAATCTATCTCGACTTTCCATCATCTGGAAGCATTATGCCCCCAACGTGGTCCCAGGCGGAAGCGGACGGAATTCTGGAAACATGCAAATGGCTTTATAATTTGTCCCACGGCATCGTCCCGGTGGAACCAAACAACAAACCCCCCGACGCAGAAGGGGACTCCCCCATGACTTTCGAGGCTCCCCCGCCTATGAAAATACGGGAGAAGAAGATCCTGATACACTGCACTGATGGTTACACTGAATCTACGCTCCTTGGACTCGCATATTATACGTATGCGACCGGATTACCAGTTCCTACGGCTTGGTTGGACCTCCATAAGACCAGACACCGTAACTTCTTTGCCTATCCTTCGGATGTGGCACTACTTGCGTCAATTGCACCACGTTTACTTTCCGAATCACCGGTCAATTTCGACAAGTCTTTATCAGAGATCACGGAACTAGCCAAAGAAGAGCCAGAATGGATTAAAAACATGGATGGTTCTCTACCTTCTCGGGTAACAGACTACATGTATTTGGGTAATTTGGGTCACGCCAATAATCCCGACCTTTTGAAGAATATGGGCATAGGACAAATTTTGAGTGTAGGAGAGACTGCAACTTGGAAACCAACTCAGTTGGATGCATTTGGCAAAGAGAATGTAATGATTGTACACAAGGTGCAGGACAATGGTGTTGATCCCCTCACGGGTGAATTTGAGCGGTGTTTGGAGTTTATTAGTATGTTTTTCCTCCCTTCTTCTTACATACAACGGCTTTGCTAATAGTCAAAAACAGAAAGGGGAAAGGCCAACGGCACTGCAACGTTGGTGCATTGTCGAGTTGGCGTATCACGCTCAGCTACGATTTGCATTGCAGAAGTTATGAGATCCATGAGACTTTCTTTCCCTCGTGCATATTGCTTTGTGCGCGCAAGACGTTTGAATGTTATCATCCAGCCCCATCTACGATTTTCCTACGAACTTCTGAAATGGGAAGAGAAGCTCCGCAAGGAAACACGACATGATGGTAGATTTAAAAGAGAGCTAGAATGGCCCCAAATCGCTCGAGAAATCGCAGCCATGAACAAACCTTACTCCAGGTGATTAACGACTGGTACATTACTTTTCATTTTTACATTCTCGGGAGGACGTTTTTTGATTACGATCTTATGAATTTTATACCACCTTCTTTTTCCACGGGAGTAGCATTCTCTCCCAGTTTACCGGATTTGGGTTTTTGGCTCTAGTAATCGGTGGATTCGTGAGTAAGGAGCGGATCACGGTTGCAGCCTACATTGTTCAAACATGCTTCCCTGTGGTATTCTTGGGAGGATTATGAAGATGGGCTGGGATACGGATATGGACTCTGTATATGTCTGTTCGCATATGGGCAATTGGGGGATTTGGAACAGATATGGGGTTTCTTATCAGATTGGGGTTGGGATTGGGATCAGGAAGTGAAAGTTCTTTTTTTCTTCTTCTTTTGGTATTGGGAATCAGTTCTTTGATGGATGATGGATGGTATTTGGGTGGATGGACAGGATTGAATATGATGGTTGGTGGGTTGGGACTGGATGGACTGGGCTAGTACATATTTATACATGATACGTTAAGATGATAATGGGATGGTTTTTGTTTCTTGGGATTGAGGGAAGCAGGCAGATTAAAAGCCTGAATTGAACCCCTTAGCGGAAAGAATTGATTTCGTTGAATTTCTTCATCAGTCTGAAAACCCGTTCTTTGAGTGAGATTTTATGGGTTGACGCAGTAAGAGAGGCAAGCATTGCTCTGTACACGCTATTAGAAGTCATTATGTTAAAACTCTGGCACGAGTACGTTAATTGTCCTATTTCACCTAGTACAATAAGAATTGAAAAGTAATGATTGTTCTAAACTATTCGTACAATTAATTTAGTTGTATAAGGTCTTTAAGATAATACTTTATAACTCAGGTGTGTACAGAGTAGTAACCGCCTCTCTTACTACTTCCAAGTTGTTACAATAGCTCCACCAGGGAGAATCCTTCTGGTTCAAGAAGATATTTTGTTGATTTGCTCATCTAGAGCTACTGTAACCAACGGTGAGTATTGTAAGTCCCTGCCACGTCAGTCAAGTTCCTCTTACTTATGCATGCATACCCAAGCCCTGCGTTGGAAAAGGCCATTCTGGAGGATTGACCTGTGGTTATCTCTTGTGGTGTAACTTCTACAAGTATTGTGTTGTTAATATTGTGATATGTGGTTTTGAAGTTACCTAATGGAGGTGTAGTAGTTACAAGGCTTAACCCCTGTACGTTTGTGGAAATTAAGTTTTAGTGAAGACTGTTGAATTGTATCTGGTATTGTGACGCAAATGAATTAATTACACTCCCCCATTTTTGAAGTTCTCTAAATGCTCTTCACTACTGGTAGGTATTGTGAATGTGTGGAGCCACCTGATTATGGGCTGGCCTGGCTGGAGCTGAATCCGGCATTTATCCGTAACCTTAAATCCCAGTGGCAGGGTGTAACACCAAGTTCGCTCTCAAAGACATCCTACCCAGTTCATCCCCCACATCTTTCGCAACCTACAACCTATCACCAACAAGACTGGATGACCACAAGCAGATCTCCACAGTGTGCGCTTGACAGGATTAGACGCGTACGCTAGGATTTTATGCGCATAAAGACCAGCTACGGCCTCCCACAGAATGAAGCGCAAAGCGCACGACTCCATCCAAGACCATCAGGAATACAGCCAGGTAGGCGATCTGAGGTAGGGAGGTATCTAGCAATCATAGCTGACTGAATTCGCGAGCAGTATTTACCTGCGACTCCACCTAAACGACAAAATATGGGTGCCTCTCACAGTTCCCTAAGCAGCTGGTATCCATGGGGCTGGTTGTGTTCGCTGGCCTCACCTTTTACACCTAAAATCAAGACCAGAGAGGGTAGGAATCTTCTTTATGCCCTCGAGCTTTTCTGGTCATTAATATCCCCAGGCCTCTCAGAAACTCCTACACCAATTCCGAAAGCGGTCAAGAAAGAGGAAGAGGAAACGCGCTCTAAGAGACAACCAATACCACATATACACGATGAACCACATTCACGAAATCAGAAAGATGGCAGCCCTAGCCCTATCCTCTCACTCTGCAACAAGGGCAAGGCTAAGGCTCAGTGGGGCAAATTGGTTATTGAAGATTACGAAAATGAAAACGATGCTACGCAAGCTGCCAACGATCTCTGGGATCCGCCAGAGCTCTTTGGAGAGGCCCCAATGGATGATCGCACTCCATTGGAAGCCAAAAAACGAATCAGAGCACCGAGTGCAAGCACTCCTTCGAGGACGACTACGGTTACGACTCCATCGCGCCAGGGAGGTGGCATATCACCGTCGACGAGCCGGAAAAGGAAGCTAGCATCGAGAAAGACCGACATCAATGATGACTTGGGCAGGCTTTTGGGCAAGGATAAGGATGAAAAAGAACCCTCGATTTATACTCCATCGCAAATCAAGAGGGTTGAACTAGCGAGGAGAGAACAGGAAAGGAAGGAGAGAGAAGCGGCGAAGGCTCGTTTGGCGAAACAACAACGTCGAATCTACAGACGGGCTCCGCGGGACAATGGTCGTCTTATTACGCCTGTGCGACCTCAATGGGAGGAAAGGGTTGATGATATTTTACAAGTGCCGGAAACTGCGCCGAAGCCCGTCACAACTACTCCTATTGGAACTGAGCTACGAGCCAAAGATTTCCACACCGTCTTAACAGGCCGAGAGTGGTTGAACGATGAGATTGTCAACGGCTACCTTGACTGGATTGTGTTGGCTGCTTGTGAGGCTGCCAATAAAGAAGACGAGGCCGATGGCAAGCCACCAAGTACCGTTCCGAAGTTTATTGCCCACACGAGCTTCTTCTACCAAATGATGCTCAACAAAGGAGGGAAAGGTACCCAACGCCTCATGAAAAGGAAGAAGGCCCCAGACGACTCTCTTTTGGAGGTAGATTCTATCTTCATACCCATTAACAAAAACAACCATTGGACGTTGGGAGTTGTTAGACCGGTAGCGAAAACCATCGAGTACATTGATAGTTTCAACGGCGATGAGGGAATACCATTCAGAAGGATCGCACGAGAATGGCTGAGGGATCTTTTGGGAAGCAAATATGTCGCAGATGACTGGAAGGATTTTCGAACGCCATCTACCCAGCAGACGAATGGGTACGACTGCGGTGTCTTCGTTTGTACGAACGCACTGTGCGTAGCTCTTGGTTTGCAGACCAATTGCTATACCGAGGACGAATTGATAGATCAACGCAAAGTTGTTGCTGCTACCCTACTGAACCGGGGCTTCACTGGAGATTTTGATTGGGACAGGTATGCGAGACTTTAAATATTGGCATGGCGGGCTTGAAAGGGGCGGCTTAGAAGCCGGGGTTTCTGGCGTTTTGAACCTGCGATACCCCATTCTGTTTTATTGAATTTGTACCGGTGCACCTGATGGGATGGATGATGCCGGTTGTCTCTCATACATAGAGGCATGAGAGAACTGCCCAAAAGCTTGTGCTTGTATGACTGTGGAGGAAAGGATATTGGGAACGTCTTCAGGGAATCAAGCTGCGCAGTTTTTGTAGAAATTCATAGAGTTCTCAACTCTTCACTCAATGTCTGTGACTGACAAAATGTTTGGTTCATCTGATGACCCAACCTCGCAACCTCGGATGATAGCACCTGGAGCATAGCCAGCCCATGAACCCCTGATCGCATTTCACCCCACCCAAAATCCCAAGCTGTTGGTTCAAACAGTACTGCACCCCAGTCTTAGCCTCCGTTTCCTTCCAGTGACGAACGACACCTCTTGGCCTAGAATTTAATCCCACTCAAGTGCCTCTCCAACTTTGCTTCTGCGACTGACCAAATCCAACCCCATGCCCAGGACCAGCTAATGTCCTCATTTGCGCATCCTTTAATGACCAGCCGAAATGGCTAAGAAGGCGAAACAACGTGTGTCCTATGTCCTGCCCCTTGCAAACTCACCTGGCGGACATCGTCTGGGGGTGAACGGACTGGCGGTTGACTGCGAGCAGTCGATTCTGTAAGTTCTTTGCGGGGTTTGGTGTGGGGTGCTTGGAGATACTTGCGGAGGGGGGGAGGTATGCGAGCGACTAGCTAATTGTTGCGCCAGGTACTCGGGAGGAAGAGATGGAGCTATTTGCGCGTGGAATCTCAACCTTGATCTGAAGAACAACAAGACGTTCGACAACCCCTTTGAGTCCCCGGAGGATCCTCCTGCAAAGCGAGGTTCGAGTTCGAGGCGTTCTACTTTTCGGGCGCAGACGCAGGCGCATACACATTGGGTGAACGATATTGTTCTGGCGCAAAACAACACGGCGCTAGTGTCGGCTTCGTCTGACTTGACGGTGCGAGTATGGCGGCCACTATCGAATGCCTATGAGGCCCCGCAGACGATTGGACAGCATGCGGATTACGTGAAGTGTCTGGCGACTCCAAATCCCCAGGCAGATTGGGTTGCGTCGGGAGGACTGGACCGACGAATATGTCTTTGGGATCTCAGCGGAGCGGGGAAGCAACTAGAAATCGAGGTAGGAGACGAGGAGAAGAGTGAGAAGGGCTCAGTGTATGCGCTCAGTGCTAGTCGAAGTATACTAGCCAGTGGAGGACCGGAATCCATCCTGCGACTTTGGGATCCCAGGACTGGAAAACGGGTTACCAAGTTTGTGGGCCATACGGATAATATCAGGGATATACTTATCAATGAGACGGGGGATACGGTCATGACTGCCAGCTCGGATCAGACGGTCAAGGTGTGGAGTGTTACTGCGGGCCGGTGTATGCATACACTCACGATGCATAACGACAGTGTCTGGTCCTTGTATTCAGACGACCCGGCTCTCGGAGTTTTCTACAGTAGTGATAGATCAGGTCTGGTTGTCAAGACCGATGTTAGAGGCACAATGGGAGAAATGGACGACGGACTTTCTCTGGCTGTTGCCCAGGAAAACGATGGTGTCATCAAAGTCATTGCTCATGGAGATTATATCTGGACAGCAACATCAAGTTCTTCCATAAGCCGATGGACTAATGTTGATACGGGAGCAAATATCCAATTGCCTGAAGCATATCGGCGTCACCGGGCCTCGAGTGTTGTATCTCGTTCTCGACAACCTTCCCTGACTACATCCAATGGAACTTCGACGGATGAAATACCATCGCAATCCATACTGAGGATTTCCAACACGGCTAGTTTCCCCACTGCTATAAGGGAAACTAGCATGACACCGATTCCTGGTCGAAAGGACTCGGAAATTATTGTAGATCCTGATATTGGTGTGATAGTCCCCATTCATGCTTTGCCGGAGGAGACCATTGAGGGCCAACACGGTCTGGTAAAGCACAAGTTGCTTAATGATCGTAGAAGGGCTTTGACGTTGGATACTGCTGGTGATGTTTTGCTGTGGGATCTATTACAGGTAAGACTTTGTATGTTCCTGCATTTGCAACAGCTTATTTTGTTAGTGTGTACCCATACAATCTTTCGGAAAGAGACATCTTGAAGACGTTGAACCAGAAGTCAATACCATGGAAGCCGTTGCTCCTTGGTGTTCCATTGATACCCGTACCGGAAGACTGGCCGTGGTCTTGGAAGAATACAATTTCTCTGATGCCGAAATGTATGCCGATGAGCTTCAACTAGATGAACCGGTGGAGTTCAAGGAAGACCAGAGAAGTAAGTCTCTTTCCCATCGCTGGTTTCTATCAAGCCGACACGACTGACCGACGTTATAGTAAACCTTGGAAAGTGGGTCTTGAGATACATATTCGCAAATCTTATCGACGAAATGATCAAGAGAGACGAAAAGTATCGTGAAGAACTCAATGAAAATCTGAAGAAGGGTGGCCAAAGATCCAACGCCCCAAACTCAATCCAAATGCCCATTACAGGAATATTGTCTGACACCATTCTCACTCCTCGAGCGAATGGTCAATCGTATCCAGTGACACCTGGCATGGGAATAGGAGTTGCAACACCTGCTGCTGTGACACATCTCCCAGGTGTTCCCGAAGATGGAGCACCTCTTGACCAACGGACCTCACAAGCTAGCCGCCCTTCCGCTGACAAACCTGGTGATTACTTTTCCAGTACCCGGATCAACTCTGATTCGAGCTCAAAAGCCGTGGCCACTCCCGCTGCCGAAACACAGGAACCCAAGTCACCCAGTGTAGATGCGGATAAAGAGAACAATAACGGAAAAGACTCCAACACACTCTTTGGAAGAAAATTCAAGATGGGTAAAGGCATGTCCTTTGGCAGCAAAAAAACCAACCGTTCAGCATCGGCGACGAACACGGAGAAACCAGTGATCGTCGATGAGAAGGTTGAAGATGGTTCAGAAGCCTCGGAAAATGGCGAGAAGGGGAAGGAGGTTGATGATAGTTTCTTCGGTGTCGTTCAGAAAATCAGACATGAGTATGAGAAAGCGCTACTCGAGAATCCTGAACAGCGGGTTGAGAGTGGTATTACACCAAGTCTACCGAATGAGACGCCTGTTCTGAAACCGCCACCTTTGACGACGGTCATTGTTCAGGAGGAAACTTCGGGCGGTAGTGCGGATTTGTATCGAGGCACGGTCGGGACGGTTGGTGAGGACGCGAGTTTGATTGAGCAAAAGGCTCCGATGTGGCTTGGTGACCTACTATTACGAGTTCGTTTTTCCCCTCTCTCCCCTCTATTAGTCGACCAAGCTAACATAAATAGAACCGCATCCCACTCAAGGAACCCGTGAAGGTCTCCTTCATCCTACAGCCTTGGCAAGATCTCCTCCCCAGTATCGCGGGACCAGATGGCAATTCCCGTCTCAATGCAAATCGCATGCTGAGGGTCAAGAAGATCCTTGGGTATGTTGCCGAACGGGTCGAGCCGGTTCCCGAAACGCCCGATCCGGATGCGATGAAGCCGGAGGAGTATTTGGAGCTTTATTGTTATGACCAGGTTCGTATTATCCATTCTTCCCCTTCTTCTCTCTCACCCTTGCCCTTCTTATCTACTCTCATTCCTTCTCCTGTATTTGAGAACCCCATTCTAATCATCACCGCTGTGCAGAAGTTACCCATCACGATGAGCCTCGCCACTCTCCGCGCACATGTCTGGAAGGGAGGTGCGGATGTGATGTTGTATTATAAGAGTAATGGGCGGAAAGCTATTAAAGGGGAGGCTACGTCTGCGACGACGGAGACGAATGCGGGGGAGGGTGATGCGGGTGTGGATAGGTCTATTACTTGATTGGATCAGGATATACATATTACCTTTTTTCCTGGTTTTGGTTGGGAGGTCTTGAGGGATGGATGGATGTTTTTTTGTAGATATGTGGTGGTGGGCTCCTTCTTTTTACGGTAGTTGGAGATACCTATTTAGTTGTTCTCTTTCTTCTTCTTCTTCTTCTTCTTCTTCTTCGTGGAGTCGTGTTTTCTTACTGGATTAGGTGTGAATGGTTTGATACAGTAATACGTGAGTGCGTTTAGTAGTCTACCTTTTCATTCTCTTTTGAGCTTCATTCTATCTTTATTTCCTTGGCTAAACCGTAGATATCGAAGATATTTCTGTTAGTCAACCAAAAGCATATGTTGAATGAACATGCTTTCTATGACTGTTGCAGAGGGAGCCTAAAGATGTGGCGATTGAAAGTTGAGAGACTTGTGATTAGGATTGGGGGGAGCGGATGATTGGGAGGAGTTGTACAGTACTTGGGGTCTCTTGTGGAGGTGCTTTGTGGTGTTCGAGGTGTTTGCGTGGTGCTTGAGTTGGTTAGAGGGCAGTTGGAGGGTGTGGGTGGGAGTGAGTTTAAGTGTTGGAGATATTGGAGATGTCGGAGATGAGATCTTTCATCTAGATATACGTGAAATATAGACATAAGGGCCTTCAGAGTAGATGCGATATCCACTGTTCGTCTAGTGGGTAGAGACGTTGGTGTTTGGGTGGTGTGAAGAAGTGATTGGTAGGGTATAAAGGCGGATTTAGATATGCTTGTTTTCTATTCTCCCCCTATTTCTTATCTTAAATTAGATTCGTAGTAGAATAGAAGATCCTACTTCGTCTCCCTCCCAAAACTGCTCGCTTCTTGGCCTCTGTACCTTCGCTGCCTCTTCTCGCCTTGGACACACCTTACCCCATCACATCCCCAGACACTCGCCATACATTCACTCCCTCTTCTCGCCAGGACATATCTCGGCCCATGAAAACCCCATACCCCCGCTCTTCGACCAATCAAAGTCGTTCGCTTCCCCCAAATCCCACAAAGCCCCACAAAAATCTCCAAACTCCTTTATGACCGCCAATAGCATATTTAACTGCCACCAGAAGATAGTGCGTCTTGCGGGGCGTGGCATTTCTCTGAGATGTGCGAGAGCAGTCCTCAGTTCTGAAAAAAAATCCCAATAAAGCCCGTTTGGGGGTGAGGTGGTCTCTAAGGCCACTAGTTGGCTTAAGTTTTGCTGGTTTTGGGGGATTTTTGGTGTTGTTGTTTTTTGGGGGATTTTGCTTTGGTGAATTGACGAGCTCGCGTCGGATGTTGTGCCAAGCTTTGGTTTACATAGATAGCCTTGACTTTGGTATTATGTCACCTTCGACTGACACTTGTGCTCTTGCGAATGGAATTTGAACATTTTGCCCTCCGCGGTCTCTGTCCTTAGCTTCTCTCGTTGTCTCTGGTCTTCAAGTTCTCAGCTTCACCGACCTTGAGCTTGAACTCGCGAAGTCAATTTTGGTGAGCATATCCTTCACGACCTTCAGCTTCGCTAGACCGAGCCAGGCACTTTGCCCTTCAATTCTCTACCATAAACCAGCACTCGAATTCCCCAGCACCCAAACTACGTCCAACGAACTTTGCTCGGCATCAACCTCCGTAGATCGAATTCGACTTCCCACGTTCAACATTCACTGGTCATTAAACTTTGCACCTGGATTACTTGAAGGCTGAAGCTCTAGCCCTGCACACCCTCACACCAAGTCCCGCAGCTCCCGATATCCCCATTACATACTCTTGATACCTTGATACCATTCTCACTCTCAAGGTACGCGCATCACTTCCAATCTGTTTCCCAGTACCAATACTAAATATACCAGATGGCTTCCCAGGATACGTCTCTTCGGAAACTTCCTGTCGAAATTCGGCTCATGATTTTCGAACTCTGCCTTTCCATGATCCCTGCAACCACACCCTACCACGAAAGCATTGCCCAGGTAACACCTCCATTACTTGTCGCTCTTCGCGGAGAGAGAAGGATTTATATGGCGAGGCTATTTGCACCTTTTACAAGATCAATACGTGTTACCTCACGATGAAGAATTACGAAGACTTCTCTCTCCGAGATTATAACTCTGATTGCATCAAGAACCTTCGACATCTCGGAATTCATTATCCGTAAGTCCATCTGTGAATCTTATTGCCCGAGCATGTGTCTCGTAAACTTTCATACACACGGGTTTCAATTGCTGATACAAGTAGGTCTCCTAGGCGATATCGCCTGGGTGTGAGGCCCCCTAGCTTCTACCCCGCCTATCCTGCTTCTTCATCTCCTATACATTTCTATACGCGTCTCCACTTCCTTGTGAGGAACGTGCCGGGAAAAATGGCAGCAGACCTCGTTTCAGTCCATATCGACCTAGAAGAGGAGATAGATGGCTTCTTCGATGCTGAATCCTTTATCCCATTGTTTGTCAGGCATCTCACTTCCTTGCAATCATTTACCCTCAACAAACTTATCAGGGGAAAGGGCGAGTGGTCGAAATCTAGATACTTGTACAAGCGCATATATGATGATCACTGGTTTATCAGATCTGGCGGCGACCGCTCTGGCATGGTGAAACCTTTCATCCTTCAGATGAACCATCTTTTCGGGGTCAAGGGCAGACAGGAGTTTGAAGTTCTGCCAAATGACCTAATTCAAAGAATGACCGCTGGAGGAGTGGTAGATCCGTCAATGCACTGGGTTATCGAACGTTGGACTTGGAAGGCAAAAACGGGTGAGGTACTAAAGCAGAGCAACTATTTCAATAAGCTTTGCGAGGAAGCTCACGATGGTCCTTGTAAAAGAGAGTTGTTGGAGAAGGATAAGGATATTTCAGGAGGTATGGCCTAAGGGAGTGAAAGGGGATATATGAAGTGTTATCAACGATTCATGAGTTCACCGGTAGATTCGAACTGAGCTTCTTCATTCATCACTTGTGTCATCTTCGAACTTGTTTATTGTCTCAACGTTCTTTTTCAAGTCCTAGTATTCGCCTTTGGAATTTGCTTACCTTTGGAATTTGCTTACGTAGACTTACCTCTTCACCTCGTGCTCTTTATTTTATCTGTTGAATGTGAGCTTCACTGGTACCGAAGTGGCCAAGCATAGGCTCAGACCAGGAGCTAGCATCTACATATCAGAACCGTCATAATACCACAAGCTCCCTCTTCCATTTCATTGCTGGACACTTTCCTGTTCTATCGTTCATTCCATTGCCAACTATCACAGTGACAATTCTCTCGCGTTTGGACTGCTACTCCCTCTTTGCTATTCACGGCAGTTGATGATTTTGTGCTCACTCACCATCGCCGACCGACGATCTACGTAACCTCCAGCTAAATCAGCAATATATCCTTGAGCCTGACCATTGATTTGATACATGCAAAGATGCCGTCACTACGCACGCTCTGTGTCGAACTCCGACTGGAAATCTACGAACTCTGTCTCGTCATACAGCCAGTTTCCGAACCATACCACGCAGATATCTTCCAAGAGGACACGCCAGCTTTGCTTGTGGCTCTTCGTGGCCAGAGGGACCTTTACGAAGAGGCGTTGGGTGTTTACTACAAGATCAATACGTTCTATTATTACGAAACTGCCACTTATCAATCCAAAGGATATTCCGGAATCAATACCCCCAATACATTCAGGCATCTTCGAAACTTTGGAATTAATGCGAGGTAATTCATATGCTTCAGAAGTACGAATCTTCACTAACATGATTCTCAGGGCTGACGAATATGACCTCTTTTCCATTGACAACCTCACACATCTCCTCTATTGCATGAGTGAAGCCTCTGCAATAGATATTCCCACCTTTGGCAGCCAGGTTGTATGCAACCTCGGAACAATCAACATAAACCTATCTTGTCAGGCGCTTTCTGATATTATTCCCCTTCTTCGTTTGCTCAGACCACATCTCACCAAGTTGAAGCGGCTCAGTCTCAACACACCCTGGGAGCTTGATTCATCTGATCCGGTGCTGGTTAAGATAAGCTGCATGTTTGGACTCCAACCCAGCATAACGGCCTTGAAATTCAAGGAGGAAGGCATGTGCATAGATGAGCCAGAGGAGAGAGATGGCTCTCAAGTTGTGTGGGAAGAAAGAGAGGGCCAGGTATTGAAGAAAAAGTAGATACGTGAGAAGGGATTGCAAGGAGATACATGATGGACCTTGTCAGCCAAAATCTGGTTGAATCGAAACAAGAGGTGTAATGCAAGGCAAACAGGTCTTTTCGAAGGAGCATCTTTTTCTCGCAATGGTGTGATGGTTCCTATGAACGAGAAGTCTGTAAGATAATAAAACAGGAAAATATGAAGTTGGATTCTCCCGATCATATAAGTACCATGGCCGCACGCTCCTAACCATCAAATATTTTGTTTGCGTTGATTCCTTGTGTACTGAAAGAACCACAAGCTTTTGGCTCTCACCATGAGAGATACACATACAGTGATACTACCAAGAGCCGAGTCGCGAAGCCGCTCCATTGTGGGAGATTTCTGCAGCCATATGTGGAAGAACTTTGTTGGTGTTTGAGGTCGTCGAGGCGGTGACGTTGGTTCGCTTGGCTAAATGTGGACGCCCGGGAATACCGATGGCGGATGAATAGTGAAATCTTATATATATTGCAATATGGCTGGATACATTCACTACTTTATATATCCTTGACAACCGCCCTCATTTTGTTTAAACCCCAGACATGAATTGCTTTTTTGGTTAAGACTATGACAAAAAATAAGATCTCATTGGAAATGTGACTGCCGCTTTCATTCCCGAGTCCACTCTCGCGTGGTGATGATAAAAGTGGAGCACGCATTCCTCCAGCTTACTTTGAGGTACCGAGTTTGTAGCCGCACTATGTTCCCCGCATTTCGTCAAAGCCGAATCTGACTTCCGTGGACGATTCCGCGAATGGCGGTTACGCTTGTGTATATTGTCAATGCTTTATTACTAGCTTGCAGGCCTGAATAATCCACTTACTCAGATCAAACCCCAAAGAGGCGCGAGCAAGGTCATCCCAGAGGGGCATAGTGTGTGTAGTCGCAGCTGCTCTCAAGATACCGAGCTTCGTCCATTATTGCGTTTCCCATGTTTAAGTACTAAGTAACGCCCAATGCCCATTTAATTTGCACTCATTCATCAACACAACTTGCTCTTCTTACCCCTTAATCTCCTGCCTTGACCATATTCACAACCACCCCGAACTCCTTGCTTATTCAAATATATTTTTGGTTATCTTACAATGGCGCCAAGTACGACACCTCGTGGAAAGGCCACGAGCGATACCGTTGAAAAGTATGACATCGTAATCATCGGTGCTGGACCAGTGGGTTTGCTATTATCGACTTGCTTGGCAAGATGGGGATACAAAATCAGACATATCGACAACCGGCCGGAGCCTACGAAAACTGGCCGTGCTGATGGTATTCAGCCTCGGCCTCTAGATCTGTTAAAAAACATGGGCTTAAAGCCTGATATCATGGCACATAAGCCAGCAAAAGTGTATGAGGTTGCGTTTTGGGACCCAACTTCGGCTAGAGATGGAATTCACAGAACCGGAACATGGGCTAGTTGTCCGAGTTTCATCGATGCTCGTTATCCATTCACGACTTTATTGCATCAAGGAATGATTGAACGTGTATTCATCAAGGATCTGAAGAAATATGGAGTGGAGGTACAGAGACCTTGGACAATCAAGGGCTTCAAGACAGATTATGAAGGTGATTCCGTTTACCCCGTTGAGGTTGATTTACAGCACGTAGATGGCGGGAAAATGGACAAAGTGAGGGCAAAATACTTATTTAGCGGTGAAGGAGCACGATCGTTCGTGAGAGAGCAGCTGAAGATTGGAATAAAACACAAAGATCCAATTGCTCATGTCTGGGGTGTAATGGATGGTGTAGTTAAGACAGACTTCCCAGATATCAAGGTTCGTAAACCTCCGCAAAACATCGTTCTGAAGGCTCTGACCAATTTCCTTTAGATGAAATGTACCATTCATTCGGAACACGGCTCAATCATGGTAATTCCAAGAGAAGACAACATGGTACGGCTTTACATCCAAATCGCCTCTTCCACAGACAAGGATTGGAACCCTCTCAAGACGGCAACCGAAGAGGAAGTCCAAAATTCGGCGAAGAAAATTCTTAGTCCCTATCAAATTGAGTGGGAGCGAGTTGAATGGTTTTCTGTATACCCTATTGGCCAGGGTATTGCAGACAAGTATACTCTGGACCATAGAGTTTTTATGGGGGGAGACGCTTGTCACACCCACAGCGTAAGTTTCACCACGAAAAGTTGCGAATGCACTGACTAACATGGAAATTGAAGCCAAAAGCTGGCCAGGGAATGAACACCGCTTTCCTAGATGCCCTCAACTTGGCTTGGAAGATCCACCACGTGGAGGGTGGATTTGCCGACAGATCGCTGCTCGAGTCATATGAGAGTGAGCGAAAACTTGTCGCAGAGAACCTGCTAAATTTCGATGCAAAATATGCGGCTTTATTTTCACAAAAACCACCAGCAGCGACGGATGTTGCTGCAGCCTCTCAGACGAGCGCCGACAATGATGAGAACCCATTCATTGCAACTTTCAAAGAATCTTGCGAATTTACCAGTGGTTACGGAGTGGCTTATGATGCTAACAGTCTCAATTGGTCTCCTTTACACAAAGCCCAGTCTCCGATTATAAACCCAAAAGGCAACAAACTTCGAACGGGAAGAATCTTGATTAACTCGAACGTCACTCGGGTAGTTGACGCCAATGTGGTACATTTGGAGCAAGAAATTCCCCTGAATGGCTCATTCCGGGTTTACGTTTTCGCTGGCAAACCATCGAAGAGCAAGAAAGCGCTCGAGGACTTTGCCCAAAACATCAGCAAACCATCTTCTTTTCTGAACTCCTACTTACGGTCGGATATCGACAGTGTTAGCCACCATGAGCAACACAATCCCCACAGTCATTTCTTTACCTTCTGCACTATCTTTGCAGCGAAAAGACCGGAAGTTGAGATCTCAAGAGATGTGCCAGGCGTTTTAGCGAGATACCGGGATCACATCTATGCTGATGATATTTTCGACTATAAAATTCCAGATGCAACGGCCTGGGCACATGCAAAGATGGGACTTGATCAGGAGAAGGGGGGTGTTGTTATCGTGCGACCTGATGGTTATGTTGGGATTGTCACCAGTTTGGTGGAAGGAGGAGGAACTGTTGATGCTTTGAACTCTTATTTTGGAAGTTTTTGCAGCAAGAAATTAGCGGAGCATCGAGCGAACTTGTAACTCTATTAGGCTTTTTAGAAAAATAATACCCGTATTTTGATCCGAAGTACGCAAGAGAATCTGGCCTTGCTTTCCATTATCTAGATGCCTTGTCAACAGTGTGCAAAATGAATCAGACTTTGATTCAAGAAATTTGGGGTCAATAAACTCGCGGGTTCTTAATCGCCCTAACTCTTTTGTATTAATTGCCTCGGTATTCGACGTCCAACCCCTTACAATGCTTCCAGGATTACCTGATCCTGATGGCAAGCAATAGCCAAATAGTTCTTTCATATGTTTCAGGGCTCATTGATACTTATGGTGGAAGATGGTGCGACTTTGGAGCCAAAAGCGGAAAACTTAGGCCTTTTTGGCATTCAACAAGTACGGTGCAAAATATTTACTTGTACTTTACTCGAGTACAAGGAAAGTAAAAGGTTGAGATGTTTGTGGCGAGCCGTTGCCTAGTGTTGTAGCCTCAGGCACCAACCATCTACTTCAAACTTTCCAACCCAAGCCTCCTTCTGCCTCACATTTGCAAAGAAGTCCACATCAGCCTTCATCAAAAGTTGCCCAATATGAAGTTCAATATTGAGTAAGAACTCTTTTTGATGTCGAAAGAGAGATTACGGATGATGCTAACGATGGAATCAGGGATCTTCCAATATTGTTCCCGTATCCAAGGATATATCCGGGTATGCTCATCGGGGCCCAACGGATCATCAAGGCTAACAATGTATTGTAGAACAATATGCGTATGTCATGATTTGCCCATCATGAGGAAACTAAAGCTTACCACAGTAAAAAATGAAGCTATATGTGCGATCTCAAGAGTATGTTCTTCCTCCCAGAAACAGAGCGAGTCTTGGTAATACGATACTCATTGTTGTTGCTTCACAGAAACGCTCGATGCCGGAGGACATTGCGTTCTTGAAATGCCTTCAGGAACTGGAAAGACCGTCTCTCTTCTCTCCTTGATCGTAGCGTATCAGCAATACTACCCAGAGCATCGAAAACTGATATACTGCTCACGTGAGTAGCTCAGACCGCCCTGCGTTGGCTTGTATTGATGAGATGAAAGGTACTATGTCCGAAATCGAAAAGGCTCTGGCAGAATTAAAAGCACTCATGAAATATCGCGAGGAACAACTCGGTTACAAAGAGGACTTTCGAGGCTTGGGTCTTACAAGTCGAAAGAATTTGTGCTTGCATCCTTTAGTCAAGAGAGAGAAAAGTGGGGCTGTGGTTGATGCGAGATGTAGGAGTTTAACGGCGGGGTTCGTGAAAGAGAAGAAGGACAGAGGCGAGGACGTGCCTGTGTGCATATATCATGATGTATTAAGTTCTCGTGATATTATGCCGGCGACTTTTGCTGATACGTGATACCAGAACCTCGATCATCTAGAACCTCACAATCTCATTCCGAATGGGGTATGGACTTTGGATGGCATCATGAGATACGGAGAGGAGCATAAACAATGTCCTTACTTTACCTCACGGCGGATGGTATGCCTTCATTGCCCCTTTGGAAATCCCAGCTAACAAGAGCAGATGTCATTTTGCAACGTGATCATTTATTCTTACCATTACCTCCTCGATCCCAAAATTGCGGAGCGGGTATCGAAAGAATTGTCTAAAGACTGCATAGTGGTTTTTGATGAAGCCCATAATATCGACAACGTCTGTATTGAGTCCCTGAGTACGGATATCACCGAGGATTCATTACGAAAAGCAACACGAGGAGCACAGAATCTCGAAAGCAAGATTTCAGAGATGAAAGACAATGATTCGGAGAAGCTGATGAATGAGTATGCAAAACTGGTTGAAGGTTTGCGAGACGCCGACGAGGCAAGACAAGAGGATGCGTTTATGTCAAATCCTGCTCTGCCAGACGACCTATTGAATGAAGCTGTTCCTGGTAATATTCGGAGAGCGGAACATTTTGTGGCGTTTTTGAAGCGGTTTATTGAATACCTCAAGGTAAGAAATACGTGCAGACTACCTCGATTTTCCTAACATGGTTCTAGACTAGAATGAAAGTTCGTCAAGTTATCTCAGAGACACCGCTGTCCTTTCTTGCTCATCTCAAGGAGTATACATTTATCGAGAAGAAGCCATTGAGATTCTGTGCAGAACGTCTCACATCTTTAGTTCGAACTCTCGAGTTGACAAATATCGAAGATTATCAACCTCTTCAAGAGGTGGCAACTTTTGCAACACTCGTAGCTACCTACGAAAAAGGATTCTTGCTCATATTAGAGCCATATGAATCTGATACTGCCGAAGTACCTAATCCGGTCCTTCATTTCACCTGTCTGGATGCTGCGATAGCTATCAAGCCAGTCTTCGATCGTTTCAGCTCCGTAATCATCACATCAGGGACCATCTCTCCTCTCGAAATGTATCCCAAGATGCTAGGTTTTGAGACCGTCGTTCAAGAATCATATAGCATGACCCTCGCTCGCCGCTCTTTCTTGCCCATGATAGTAACGAGAGGATCTGATCAAGTCCCGGTGTCCTCTGGTTTCGCTGTCCGTAATGAGCCATCTGTTGTCCGAAACTATGGAAATCTTCTTACAGAATTTTCTAAACTTACACCAGATGGAATGGTGGTGTTCTTCCCATCTTACCTGTACATGGAGTCCATCATTAGTATGTGGCAAGGTATGGGCATCTTAGACGAAGTATGGAAATACAAACTTATCCTTGTCGAAACACCCGACGCCCAAGAGACATCTCTCGCCCTAGAAACCTACCGCACAGCCTGTTGCAACGGAAGAGGAGCAATCCTACTTTGTGTCGCGAGAGGAAAGGTAAGTGAGGGTATCGATTTCGATCACCAATACGGACGTACCGTGTTATGTATTGGGGTGCCATTCCAATACACTGAATCACGTATTCTCAAAGCCCGTCTCGAATTCCTCCGGGAAACATATCGCATCCGAGAAAACGATTTCCTATCCTTCGACGCCATGCGTCACGCAGCCCAGTGTCTCGGTCGTGTCCTGCGTGGCAAAGACGACTACGGAATCATGGTTCTGGCAGACAAACGATTTCTGAAGAAAAGAAATCAACTACCGAAATGGATCAACCAAGCCATTCTAGAAAGCGAAGTCAATCTAAGTACAGATATGGCAGTAGGAAGTGCGAAGAAGTTCTTGAGGGGCATGGCTCAACCGTTCAAAAATGTGGATCAGGAGGGTATCAGTACGTGGAGTTTGGCGGATCTGGAAAAGCATAAAGAGAAGCAGGATGAAGAGAACATTCGAGCTTTGCAGGAGGCGCAAAGGGAGGCTATGGAGGGGGGTGCGATCCAGAGGGAGGTGGATATGGATGAATTTGATGATGATGAAGCGGAGGCGGGGATGATGGAGTTGGATGGTTGAGGCGGTGGGGGCTTGTAAGAGTGTAACGAGTAGAGACTGCTAGTTCATTTTGATCAAAAAGAGCCCTTGAATTCGCTTTCCCACTATGTATCTTATGTGGTATTTGACAGAGTGGAATTCCAACTGATAAGCTCATCCAAAGCCCTAATAGAGATATACTCAACTAACCTTTGCCCTGGAGAAAGCTCTTGGTGTTATTTCTTGCTCTCCGTATTCAAGACGCAGACAGGAGACATTAATTGTAAATTTATTGTGGTATTGTTCGAGTGCTACAATTTTACACGGCATAATAACACGACCATGCCCGCAACCCCAAACATTTAAAAGGTGATGTGGTAAAGCCCACGGGTATTAAGCTTGTAAACCCGCTCTATTTCATGCTCTTCGCCAAAGTCCAGAAATTCTCCATCTTTGCCCTGGTCAAGGCATCACGGGCAGCACTGTCCGTTTCACATACCTTGCTACCCCATTTCCTAAAGGCTCTAGCCTTCTCCTCGCCCTCAAATACTAGTACACATTTGTTTAATGTCATATTCTTCAGCTCTCCCTTCTCATCCTCCGCCTTGAGCCAATCCTGCAATGCTTCTGCTTTTGTACCTTCTTTGATGCGTGTGGGAGAGTTTTCGGTCCAATCAATTCTCTGCAGCATAAGTTTACGATATTGTCGTATACTGTGCTCCCCTCCTTCAACGATAACCAAGTTAAATCTTGGATGCATAACGCAAATACCCGTCAGCGCCATTTGCTCTGCATTCTTCGATATCTTGAATCGGTGACTGCCATTCGACAAGTTGCCAATCTTAAATACCATCAGTTTAATACCCTTCGCAGCGTCTTTCTCCTGGTTCAAAGCAAGCTTTTCGTGTCGTTGTTCTTTGGTGAGTTTTCGCTCCTCGTTCATTTCGACGTGCGTTTGGTGACGTGCTGCGATCTCTCGGTTCACGCGTGCTTCAACGGCCGTAGGATCCTTGACAGCTTCCTCTCCTAGCACTCGCATGAGGTTTCCTTTCTTTACCTTTGGAGGGGGCGCTGGCTCAAATCCGAGTCGGATCTTAGCTTGTTGTTCCTTTAATTCTGCCATTCTTCGCTGTCGACGCAGCTTGGCCTGTTCTTTCGAGGTCAAGAACATAGGCTTGGGTGCGGGCATATTCTTTTCCTGTGGAGGCTCGAGAAGAACTGGATGTTGGATGTATTCGGTGATGATCGAGTCGGCCGTATCGATTTTTAATCTCTTTGGATCGTCCAATCCATCGTAATTCTTAGCATCTACCAGTCCCTCATCCCACCATTCAATTTCCGGGGGCGCCTCAATCAGGTAGTTCTTTTCTGTATCAAGGTCTTCGTCTATACCAATTTTCCTAGATGATTCAGCGATGCGCTTCTTCATCGCCTCCAGGGCGGCCTGTCTTCGTAATGCAGTGGCCTGCTGAATATATTTGCCCTTCTGATTGAAAACCAGCTGTCTCGAATGCCTATTCTTCAATGTTGCTGTCTGGGCCCCTAGACTGATATCGAAGTACGGATTATTTCTCGTTTCCTCAGGCGAGGGTCCAGAGAGATCAAGCTGTTTCTTGATCTTCGCAGCCGGTTTGTCGGGTTGTGGTCGGGCATTTCCAATACTTGTTGCGAACTTGGGCGCAACGCTCTTTGATGCCTTGTACTGTCCCAAGTCCTGAAGCGCTGGATGGAGGTCGACGTTCAAGCCTCCTCGAGCGAGGATGGGATGAGGTGGTGCATTCAGCCCTGTGCCTCCTCCTCCTCCTCCTCCAACCTTCGCTTTACTGCTACCAACTGCTGCTGCAACTCTGGCTTTGAGGGCGGCGAGCTTGTCTGCTGCTGATTCGGGTTTGGTAACGCGGCTCGATGAGTCGTGACGAGGCGCGAGAATGGGTGATGCCTTGCCGCGATCCATGTTGGCGATGAGATGCCTTGCGGGCGGTGGATTATGAGTATGAGGTTGCGCTTTGTTGTGGGGGAGGAGATGTTGGTGGACTGGAGTGGGTTGGAGGTATGAAGGTGGACTTTGAGGCTACTGATGGGCGTAGTAGTAGTAGCACCTAGCTTACTATGGTAGCCTTGTGGGCCTTGTGTGACAAATAAAGGCGGCATTGCGCTTTAAGGTGGTGAAGGTCAAAAAAACGACGCTGTTTTAGCCCATGCCCTGATAAGAAAATCGCAAGAGAAAAATTTCTTATCGCTCTTTACTTTCTGCAGCTACTCGAGTATTGCCCATCAGCTATCCTCATCCTCATCCCACCACAACCAACCTTAACCACCAATCTGCGGATACGACCATTACCAGCATTCTCTGGGTCACCATCTATTTCGCTTACTCTCCCCTTATTGAGCTGTCGATGAACAAAACTACACAAAATGAACATTTCGCAGCCGGTCGCGTCTGCCATTGGCAGCGTGGACTTTGCATTTCTCACACAGGCGGAAATCAGGGCGCTGTCTGTGAAGCGCATTGAGAATCCCCAGACCTACGATACCCTCAACCATCCAATTCCTGGTGGTCTATACGATCCAGCTTTGGGCGCATCAGGGGACCTCTTGTATGTTGGAACTTACCCCCGTGTATAGAATCGCAATCGCCCGTGCTAACCAGCAATGCAGCTGCTCGACATGTAACCTGAAAGACAAACTCTGTCCGGGCCATTGTGGTCATATCGACCTCGTCACACCAGTCTACCATCCTACCTTTATGACCCAGATGCTGAGATTACTACGAGCAAAATGCCACTTTTGCGATCGTCTCAGATTATCACAGAAAGAAGTCAACCGATACATGTGTAAACTCCGACTGATACAACACGGACTATTGGGTCCTGCCGAGGATGTGGACCGCATTGAATATTCAAAAAGCGACGAAGAGGATGGTGAGAAGAGTAGTAGCAGCGATGCCGTCGATCGGACTATGCGAGAGCGAAATAAATTCGTGAAAAGGACTATCAAAGCAGCGAAGGATGCTCCATGGGACTGGCAACTGGAGAAAAACGAGGCCGTGGCCGAAGCGCGTCGGGTGGTCATCAAAGATTTCATGAGATCAATTACTTTGGGTAGAAACTGCGCCAGTTGCAAGGCTGTCTCTCCGACCTATCGAAAAGACAAGTTTGTCAAGATTTTCGAGAAGGAGTTAAGTCCCAAGGAAAATGCCAAAAACTCTCTCAACAATTCGCGCGCGAAGGATGCCGTCCTTGTCTTGAGGGAGAGGGATAAGGCCCACCAAAAACCAGAGGGTGACTTTGACGAAGGAATCGCAGATATCGATTTGGCATCCAATGAATCGAATGACGATGACGAGGGCGACGGGGAGGACCTAGATGCTGATAGGGATGTAGTTATGGATCAGACCACAACTTCCAAATCCAATGTCGCCCCTAAGGTACAGAAATATTTGAATCCGTCTGTAGTAAAGGCACGGCTGGAATTGCTGTTTGAGAATGAGCAGGAAATCTTTTCCTTGATCTACAACTCACGCTCAACTGCTAAAAAAGCCACAAAAGTATCAGCAAATATGTTTTTCATCGAAACCCTATTGGTTCCTCCAAACGGATATCGACCTGACGCCAAAACCGGAGACAGTGAAGTTACAGAGGCACAACAAAACAAACTCTACCAAAATATCCTGACGAATTGTCAATTAATCCAACAAATCTTTCGTGAAATAGGACACCCAGACGAGGTCACCAAATACCGCCCCAGGGATTTCACCGACCTTCAAGAGGCTTGGACACAACTTCAACATGCCGTAAATTCTTTAATCGATCGGGATCGAAACCCTATCACGGGCGCTGCGGGCAAGAAGAATGAAGATGGGATTAAGCAGAAATTGGAAAAAAAGGAGGGATTGTTCAGAAAGAACATGATGGGAAAGCGAGTCAACTTTGCTGCTCGTAGTGTCATCTCCCCCGATCCAAACATCGAAACCAACGAGATTGGTGTACCGCCAGTATTTGCGGAAAAGCTGACTTATCCGGAGCCAGTTACAAGTCACAATTTCAAGGACATGCAACAAGCTGTGATCAATGGCCCGACAAAGTGGCCTGGAGCCTCAGCAGTTGAGAATGAACACGGACAGGTTATCAGTTTAACGACCAAGACAGCAGATGAAAGGTTAGCAATTGCAAATCAATTGCTAGCGCCAACCAACAGTAGATCAACCGGAGCGCGGAATAAGAAGGTCCACCGTCACCTCACTAATGGCGATGTGGTTTTGATGAATCGACAACCGACTCTTCACAAGCCCTCTATGATGGGACATCGTGTCAGAGTTCTGCCAGGCGAAAAGACTCTTCGTATGCACTATGCAAACTGTAACACTTACAACGCGGATTTCGATGGAGATGAGATGAACATGCATTTCCCTCAGAATGAAATTGCAAGAGCCGAAGCTTTACAAATTGCGGATACCGATCATCAATATCTGGCTGCTACTTCAGGGAAGCCTTTGAGAGGTCTCATTCAAGATCACATTTCTGTCTCGGTTTGGATGTGTAGTAGAGATACGTTTTTCGATCGTGGGACTTACCAACAGCTTGTGTACAACGCCTTGCGGCCCGAGGATGGACACATCGTTGGTGAGCGCATTGAAACAGTTACGCCGGCCATCATCAAGCCAGTGCCGCTCTGGACAGGAAAGCAAGTCATTACTACAATCCTCAAGAACATCAAACCTCTGGAATGCTCTCCATTATACCTCACGGGCAAGTCCCAAGTGCCAAAGGATCGATGGGGCTCCGATTCAGAAGAAGGTGTTGTCCTTTTCAAGGATGGAGAGTTCGTCACAGGTATTCTTGACAAAGCCCAGATTGGTCCCAGTGGTGGCGGATTGGTCCATTCTATTCACGAAGTATATGGCGCAACTGCCGCTGGAAAAATGCTGAGTACTCTCGGCCGACTTCTCACAAAGTTCCTGCATATGAGAGCTTTCACTTGTGGTATGGATGATCTGCGGCTTACTCCTGAGGGTGAGCAGATTCGAAAAGAAAAACTGGAGGAGGCTCAACATATCGGGTTGGAGGTTGCCTCGAAATATGTCAGTTTACAGGATCAGAATCCAACTGATACTGACCCCGAATTGATGAACCGGATGGAAGATGTGTTGAGAGATGACAGCAAACAAGGCGGTCTAGATATCATGATGAATGCCCGCTCTGGAACTTTGTCTGGTGGTATCACAAAAGCCTGTCTTCCGGTCGGTCTGGTCAAGCAATTTCCAAAGAATCAAATGCAAAACATGACAGTTTCTGGTGCCAAGGGAAGTGGAGTCAACGCAAATCTCATTTCTTGTAACCTGGGTCAACAAGTTTTGGAGGGTCGTCGTGTACCAATTATGGTCAGTGGTAAAACTCTTCCATGTTTCAGACCATACGAGACCAATATCCGGGCTGGTGGATATATCGTGAATCGTTTCTTTTCAGGTATTCGTCCTCAGGAGTACTATTTCCACGCAATGGCCGGAAGAGAAGGTTTGATCGATACCGCCGTCAAGACCTCCAGATCCGGCTATCTGCAGAGATGTCTCATCAAGGGGATGGAGGGTTTGAAAGTTGAGTATGACACATCTGTCAGAGATTCTGATGGGTCCATGGTGCAGTTCCTGTACGGTGAGGATGGCTTGGATGTGACGAAGCAGATGCATCTAACAAACTTCAAATTCCTTCTTGAGAACCTGATCTCCGAGCTTGCTCAGCTTAACTATGGCGACCCAAATTACGACAAAATTTTCGAAGAGAAAGAAGCCATATTGAAGCAAATGAAAAAGGCCCTGAAGCACGCCAAGGTCAACGACGTGAATGGCCCTGAGCCAATCCTCGCACGTTACAACCCTGGAAAGTCTGGTTATGCAACCTCGGAAAAGTTCTTCGATGCTCTCACAGACTACTTGAAGACGAATCCTGACGGACTGGTAAGAGACAAGGAGCACAAATCAGGTGTAGGAGTCCGAAAAGCACTAGAGACTGTGTTGGCTGCAAAATATCTCAGATCCGTCGTTGATCCTGGTGAGGCTGTTGGAATCGTTGCCGGTCAATCTGTCGGAGAACCGTCCACGCAAATGACCCTAAACACTTTCCACTTGGCTGGTCACTCGACAAAGAACGTAACCTTGGGTATTCCTCGTTTGCGAGAAATTGTTATGACAGCGAGTGCTAAAATAGCTACCCCATCCATGACGGTGCGCTTAAATCCAGAGATGAACGAGGAACAAGGTGAGAAGTTCGCGAAGGGCATCAGTGTATTGTCTTTGGGTGAAGTTCTGGACGAAGCGATAGTGAAGGAACGTGTTGGTCCTGGTGTGGCCCATGCAACGGCCAGAACCTATGAGATACATATTAGACTTTTTCCTTCCAAGGAGTACTGCGAGACTTATGCCATCCAAGTCGCCGATGTTGTCGATACTTTGGAGAGAAAATTCGCACCCAAGTTGCAAGCTCTCACAAACAAAGCAATGGGTAGAAAGAAGGAAGAGAAGAAGAACAAGAACGCTGGCGTACCCGAGATTGGTGTATCTTCAGGACGCATCGAGGAGGCTGCGCCAACCAGTCGAGGTTCGGTGGAGAGAGACGATGAAGATGACGATGACGCAGAAGAGGATGATGCCAAGAAGACAGCTCAGGCATCAACAAATCGTGGAGAGGGTGTAAGCTATGCCGCAAACGATGATGATGATGATCGAGTACAGGCCGAGACGCTGAGGGATGCTGAGCAAGAAGATGCCGATGTTCCAGATATTGAGGATGAGGGCATCGGTGATAGTCCGCGTGAACCTGCCAGCGATGATGAGGAAGAGGAGTTAAAGAGCAAACCGGTCACCGGAACATCTGCTGAACGCCAGGAACGAGTTATGGGTAAATGTTCAGACGTTGTGCATTTCCAATTCGATGAGGAAAAGGGCGAATGGTGTGATATTACTCTTGAATATGGTGCTGATGCCCCTAAAATTTTGATGATGACCGTCGTTGAGGCTGCTCTACGCCAGTGTCTCATTCAGCAGATTCCCGGCCTTGGGGCCTGTACATATGTCCCTGATGGAGAAGTAGACGACTTAGCAACAGGCAAAAAGGTCACCGTTCCAGTTGTGCATACGGCAGGTGTCAACCTGAAGGCCATGCAATCATATGCTGAGTATCTCAACCCTAATACCATCTCTACCAACGACATCGCAGCAATGCTCAACAATTATGGTGTGGAAGCATGTCGCGCAACCATTATCCAAGAACTTTCTGGTGTTTTCGGTGGTCACGGTATCAGTGTTGATAACAGGCACTTGAACTTGATTGCTGATTTCATGACAAGAGGTGGAGGGTTCAGTCCCTTCAATCGAAATGGATTGAGAGGGAGTGTTAGTCCTTTCATGAAGATGAGTTTCGAAACTACGGTTGGATTCTTGGCGGATGCGGTCACGGATGGGGATTGGGACGACCTTTCGAATCCAAGTTCCAGAATTGTGGTTGGACGAATGAGTAAGGTTGGAACCGGTGCCTTTGATGTTTTGACCCAGGTCCCAGCCAGGAAGGAGGATGAGATTAAGAACGTTGAGGAGATGGGGTTATGATTTTGATAAGCCTGGACTTGCTTTGTTTGCGTAGGTAGCGGTGTCTTGGGCGTTTTGATGTTTTCTTGCATGTATAATATGGTGGCATGCAAAATCATATAAATGATATTTGAACTTGGTATACCTCATGCCGTCTTTTCTATGTCCTTACTGGTTGCTTTGTAAAAGAAGAAGCATTTTTTGAATGCTCCCTGTTTCTTGTGTGGCTCTTTCCTTTCTTCGACTATGACATTTTGATAGTCAGCATGTCGGTGCATACAGCTTCCCAGGTATACACGTTCAGGTTATGTATCAAGCCTCGATAACTTCAATTACTTGAAGCTTTGAAAGATTCTCCGCAACATGTCCGAGTACGGGCATTGTCTTTTTCCAATATCAGGAATTACTGAAAAGCCGAGTACAATGAACTCACTCAAATGAACTATATCGCGGTGCTTCTTACTGCTCCCTTAGTCTCGTGTAATTGCCCAGCCTTGTTTCTCTTAATATATCATATGCTGGAATGGCTAAACATTATTTTTTGGCCGGCTTCCGCTTCCCTTCTCCTCGGTAGATATTAATGGCTGAGTACACATTGGTTTTCTAGGAAGTATCTCGTAGAACAAAATCCTTCCTATACTTTGTTATTTCTTAAGCTCTATCTAAGTAATGTTTGGTTTGGTTTGGTTTAAGAATACTATAGTTTTAGAGTTTGAAAATATGGATTTCTCTTATTTTTTGGTCCAGCTTATTTCGGATTTTATACTACTAGGTAAGTATTCGAAGGAACTGTTTTGTGTTTAGATCTAGTAGTAGTTTACTTTTCCTCGCGCTTTCTAGGTATATATTACATAGACATTTCTCGTGGTTTTTGTTTTGCTCTTAGTCTTCTATCGAAATGTTTTTTAGAATATCGAATTTTAAAAATAAGGAACGGAGTAAGTTAATCGAAATGTTTTAATAGCTTACGATTTTTCTTTAATAGATTATTTCTTTTATTAAATTACAACTTAGAGATTTTGAACTTAAGAAGTAAAGGGTATAGTAGATATAAATGAAAGAATATCTCGAAAGTTAAGAGAATAGAGAAACTATAAGGAATTATTTACGAGAGAATACTATACTAAGTACTTAACTAGATAATAGAAAAAGGCCTAGGTACTAAATAGGTATTATTTCTTGGTTTTCAAGGAATAATATTTATTATAGGTAGAAATATTTTTTATCTTAGATATTAAATTATAATTTTAGTATTTCTAAGAAAATATAAAGTATAGAGAAGGAATCTATTACTATATTATTATTCTCTAGTAGGAAATATATTATACTTTATATTCTATAAAAACCAAGTTACCTAGCTTAGCTAGATTTAAATTTTATAAAAATATTTTTATTCTTTAGACATAAAATCTAGTGGATAAGGAAAAAAGAAAAATTTCTAGAAACGCTTGAAGAAAACAAAATCTATAGACTATAGATTATAAAAATACCTAAAATTACTCTCGATATGAAATAGGGAATAGAAATGTCTTATTAGCTTTTGTTATTCTATGGTTTTAAAGGCTCGAGAGTTCTTTTCTCTAACTAATAAAAACCCCTTGAATATTAAGTACTTAACCTAGTACCCGTAGAATAGCTCCTTGTATTAGAGAAAAGAATTAAATCCGTGAGAACTATTAGGAGACCTGAAACTAATTATTTTGTATATATGTAGTGATTTTCGGAACCTGAATTCATTAAAAGAATTTACTAAATGTCACGTGTATCGTTACCTTCCCCCTTTGGAAAAAACATTTCAAGTTAGAGCGAACGGAAAACATCTCGAGGAATATAGGCAGAGATTAAGGTACATAGGATTTATTCATGGTTATTTTCGAGTCATTCGAGAGGGTTGGGGGTTTTTTATATACGGAACATCTTCTACGGAAATCGACAATGCTTTTACGGCGGGGAATTCGATCAGCTGCTGGTGCAATTAACAATCACGGAAGGAATTAAGGAGAGAAAGTAGCACCCTGCTTCATGAACTCAACAGTTCAGGACATGAAGCAGGAGGCAGGGTACTAGAAAAGCCACACCAGAAAATTCCCACGACAGACATACTAGATAATTGAGGGAAGACGCGTACCCAAGCAAGGGACCCACAACAAGGAAACACGAATATCAGAACGCGCCAGGGCACAAAGAACCAGGAGCAGATCATACAAAAGATTATTCATGGAAATCACAAGTCACAGTAGAGCAGAGTAAGAGACATATTTTGAAGTCATGATGTTTGATTGGTGGATTGATTATTCCATGGACAGCCACTCATTGCTGCCAAATCCCCTTATGATACAATAAGCACCGTCCGAAAAAGAAAGAAAAAAGAACCCAGAAAACATGAAACCATCCCAAAGCGCACCATCTTCCAAATCTGTGATTGTTGGAAGAAAATTTCGTAAAGAGGCTTGTGAAAAACCGAGGAAGCAGCGCGAAAGAACCCAATCGGATCTAACCACCGAAACCATAAAGTGTGCGACCTTGTCTCTTAAGAGCGTAGACAACGTCAAGGGAGGTGACTGTCTTTCGCTTGGCGTGTTCTGTGTATGTGACTGCGTCTCTGATGACACCCTCGAGGAAGGTCTTGAGAACACCGCGGGTCTCTTCGTAGATCACTGGAGATGATGTTAGAAGCTGCTGGATGGCGGTGGATGTTGATGAAGAACTTACTGGCTGAGATACGCTTGACACCACCACGACGCGCAAGACGACGGATCGCAGGCTTTGTGATACCTTGGATGTTGTCACGAAGAATCTTGCGGTGACGCTTGGCTCCACCCTTTCCGAGACCCTTGCCACCTTTTCCGCCTGTGAAGAAGACGCGTTAGCATGAAGTTTTGAGAGAAAGACGCGTCTGGGAATTGAAGATCCATGATGCCATTGAAGAGGCGGTGATGGAAGTGCGATGAGGATGTGGAAGGGGATGGGTGGTACTTACGTCCAGTCATGATGAAGGTTGGTTATTGGTTGAAGAGGATTTGAGAGAATGGGTGTTGTTGGTGGATTGAGAATGTTGATGCTGGTCAAATGATGGAGTTGTCGAACTTGGATAGAGTTGTAGAGAGGATGGAGGGGCTACCTATTTGAAGTAGCTGACGGCAGGTGGCCCCTGCTACAAATCACCGCAATCACTGGCAAGCGAAAGGGCGCTAGTCCTGAAGGGAATGGCGAGGGTGGTGCGACCACAACAGCGTCGCGTGCTTTGATTGGCCGGACGCGGTACCCCTTTGCCCCAAGCCCCCAACCACCCCAATGAACGCCAAACAGCGACGGGTCCATGGAAGAGGCAGCTGCAGCCCGCGGGAGATATGCGAGAACTCCGATTATGGATCTGATGGAAGGCGAGGCGAGGCGAGGCGAGGGCGTGGCACATTCACGTACACTACTCAGTACTTGCGGATGACTAATATGGAATTGGTGCACTGGTACAGTACTGTACTCAGCTTTGAATCTGAATACTCGTAGATATGACAAGATGCATCTGCCTAGAATTCACTTCCGTATGCATGAGTCACAGGCCTCAATAATTCTACGTAATATTCTTGATACTACAGCAACAATAGCGCATTCAAGTCTTCCTAGCTATACCGACCAGGTACTGTGTATGAGCGTGGCAGCGCAACCCTTGGTCGTAGTTTCCAAATCGGGATTAGTGTGGGTGTTCCTTCCGACATAAAAAAAGTGATCTTGCTTCTAATTGGCCCGTGGTAACTTTGATTTTGCAATGCGCAATCAAGCGATTCTGACGCTCCGTTCCCAGCCAACCCGAACTTTGAATCACGCGCTAAGGCAATCACTCGCCTAGCGCCACTGCACGTACAAATATCCCCCCATCCCACCTCCCAGAGCCTTTCTCTCTCATCCACAACAACATCCATCAATCAATCAACACTCTCGACCAACAACCACCTTCAATCAACAACACCATCTTTTCATCAATACCATCCGTCTAAATCCATAACAATGGCCCGTACCAAGCAAACCGCTCGGTAAGTCTCATCCTCATCATCGTCTTGCCCCTGCATCGACTTTGAGGCGTCGCTCGATTTAGCGGTCGCAATCTGCGATCGTGACGACAGTTCAGCCTCAACTTCGACGCGCCTCTTGCCCCACCTCAACACCATCACACTCCAACATCATGATCATCTACTAACATGCTCTTCACAGTAAATCCACCGGAGGAAAGGCTCCTCGTAAGCAACTTGCTTCCAAGGCTGCCCGTAAATCCGCACCCTCAACCGGAGGTGTCAAGAAGCCACACAGATACAAGCCAGGTAAGCAGCAATTCACGCGCCGCATCATCACCTTCATCTTTTAACATCTGCCAGGAACCGTCGCTCTCCGTGAGATCCGTCGTTACCAAAAGTCGACTGAGCTCCTCATCCGAAAGCTTCCTTTCCAACGTTTGGTTCGTGAGATTGCCCAAGACTTCAAGTCCGACCTTCGATTCCAGTCTTCCGCCATCGGTGCTCTCCAGGAGTCCGTTGAGGCTTACCTCGTCTCTCTCTTTGAGGACACCAACTTGTGCGCCATCCACGCCAAGCGTGTCACCATTCAATCCAAGGACATCCAGTTGGCTCGCAGACTCCGTGGTGAGCGATCATAGAATGGTGGTTTGGCTTTGAGTCTCATTTAAATGATCTCATTCTTGGGCCTTGGTCGCTGAGGCCTTGGTCAATATGAATGGATCTTTGGTGGGCGCGTAATGGGATGGGGGTTCTTCAATGGTTTTCGGCATGGAGTTTTTATTTGCCACGGGAAATTTCGATTTTACAGGGTGTACATTACACGTATGAGCGCTTCGACCAGCGATGGGCGCTGAGTCTGGAGTGCAACAATCAATCATGACTTTCAAAACTTCTAATCTGCTCCCTCTTCTGCCTTCGTGACTCCTGCATATACTGTGACTGCCTTCGATGTTCTTTGTCATTCCATGCGCTACATGCACTGGAGAGTACCTTCATTCACGCTTCCAGGCTGCTTGTGATCTATTACCGCATTATATAGCTTCGTGGCTCTCCCATATGATGTGACCTCGATGGTATCTATTGGGTCTCTCATTTTACCCTTTTGTGTAAAACATAGCACGTCCGCTCTTTCTAGCTCTAAATCCCCTTCGTTCTTAATCTTCTTCCTTCGTGACGCGTGCGTACATAGTAACTATTGGCCTGAATCCATTTCTTTGTTCTCTTCTCACGCTGTTTTGTACACCGCTATCTTGGCCTACCGCTGAAGTCCTCGTAATACCGGTAGAAACTTTCCACGCGCCGTTTTATTATTTATATTCTTTTCGTGTATAAGTACTTGTTATTTCTATTTTCAAGTGTAGTATTAATAAGGGATTTGGGGGAAGGGGGAGCGGGGAGCGGGGGGTGGTGTAAAGAAGGGAAGATATAGTTTACTTAATAATTATCTTTTGTTTACTTTTCTCTCTTTTAATTCTTTACTTGGTTTATAATAACACTTCTCCTAGATACTCTTAGTTTCTTTTAATACTCGAATTTTTATTTACTTATTTACTTAGAGCTTTCTATCTTATTTCTCTTTTTTTTTAACTATATGTATTAGAGGTTTTACCTAGACTAGATTAGAATATTAATATTATACTTAATTTGCTATTTTTCTCTAGAGTCTACTATTTCTATTATTATTTTATATAATATATAAGAGTTTTATATAGATTTTTTTTAAAAAAAGATTATATATATCTTTCTAAGTATAAATCTAGAAGGAAAGAAAAGGGAAATATAAAAATCTTTACAAGATATTTAGTTATAAAATTATTTATAATTAAAAATTATTTATAGTAGGGTTATATATAAGTATTAGAATATATTCGCTATATTCGACTCTAGGGTAATTAAGTATTTATAGTAATAGAATAATATTCTACTACGCGCCTCGTAGTTAGCTCTCTATCTTTATATTAGTTAATAATTAAAGTATCTATAGTTTTATCTTATCTCTTTACCTTGCGTTCTTTATATAATCTATATATCCTACTACGTGGTTAGTTCGTATACCGTCTAGTAGTTAAGACTAGAGGTATCTACTAATAAGTTAAATATACCCGTAGAAAAAATTAGGTATAAGTCCTAAAATCTTATAAGCGAGCTAAACAGGAGATGTATAATTTTAGCTAAGGTCGATAGGTTGAATTCCAAAGTACCTGCACGGCTGTAAAACGCCTCGAGGAGGCTTTCACGCTACCTGCTAATGCCTAGGCTTCCTTCTCTCCTCCATTTGTTAAGCTTTTCCCAATTTTAAACCACGGCCTCTGCTCTCTGCTCCTTAGTCGCCTCATCTGCCTATCTCAAGTCAATTTGCACTTTCACTAGAGCTGACACGAGCTATACCGGCAGCAGGTGTAGCAGCTGCAGCTGCAGGAGCTTCAATCATGAACTTGGCTCGAGACCTTCGAGCCTCGGGATCTGACATCATCATCGAGGAGGATCTTGCGACGATTTTCCGCCAAAACCGTATTGACCCGGAATTCGAAACTCGGTTTTGTAGGGCTATCGTGAAGGTAACTGGTCTATTCACATTCCCAAATGTGTTTCCGATAGCTTTGCATTCCGGACCAGGTCCGACAGTTGGTAGAGCCCTGAAGGATCCGCCTTATCTGCCCTTTGTAATTCAGATTTCTTTGCTATGCGCAGTTCATGGCATTGATTCGCTGTGCGATGGCTTGGAAGAGGCATTGAGATTACGGGCAGCTGCCTCTTCTGATGCGTCTCTCCCAGACAGCGAAGTCATGAGAGGAGTTTTCCTAGCATTTGCTGATCAAACCACCGGCTTCAATTGGGCAATTCTCTTCGAAGAGGTTAAAGAGGCTCTTGGGATTCCCCCTTTCGTTAAAAAATCCCCAGATACACCACGAGAATATAGCCTCTCGATTTGTTAGCTTGACGGTTCCCATTCTTCAAGCATGTCTTGACATGATGGCTGCGGTTCAGCGCCTTTACAAGGACTCCATTGTGAAAATTGATGGATGTGACCGCTCAGTTACCGTGGTTGTATGGGCCCACTACGTCCTTGGGTTGACTGTGAGTGTAGATTCACTAAATCCACTTATTTCGAGGGGACGATTATAGGCTCGCCCAGCTATTCTATCTACCTGTGCGTAGAAGCATGCATAGATAAATGTTCTCACGAACCTACTTCTATATCTCTTTGTGCTAGAGCTGATATTTGGGTAGTTCCATGTTATTAACTCCCACAAAGGGACTGTCAAGTCTGGACAGGGGGAGCCTCATGTACTCATAGAATTTCCGAAGGAGCTCTATCCTGATCTTACATCTATTGCTTACCTACTGGACGCATCTGGTGAAATCCTACTCCAGATCGAGCCAGAAAACAACAGCGGAATTGTGGCCATTACAGCTCAGCAGAAGTTCCCTGTACGTGGATATGCCACTACCGCTTTTTATTACGACGACTTACTACTCACGAAGGTAGCAATCACTGGCATGTGTCATTAACTCGGCCGCCCTAGCGTACTGTCTCTCAGAGAAACTTACCGCATCTGACGCCATTGAAGGGCCCTATGCTCAACCGGTGGAATTGCCATATCGAAATTTAGAGCGTGCTGTGGAGTTGATACTTGGCCCGGAACGCTATAATCAGAATAAAATCATGACTTATTATAGGTCAATGGCAACAGTCTCAAAGAAGGACATTATGAAGATTCCACCACCTCCTTCGTTGAACATAGACACAACGAGCCCCACAGGCTTGTTTGAGTGGGATCACTTACTTACCAAAGCTTTTGATCTGGCATATTTGATTCTGGCATTCTCAGCGATTGGAGATTTGGGTCAAAGCGAGGATATGGTCTTGGCTTCGTTCGAGTACAGAAACAAGCTTCGAGCCGACATGCGTGGAGAATCATACCAGTCAGGAGGCCACCAGGATACGAATCCCTTATGTTACGACTTCTTTTTCCAGATTATTGCATGTCTGCTCGAGGGAAGATCGGGTATTTCCGGATATGAAGCATTTACTCATGGTACTCAGGAAGTTCCGACAATAGTCAGTGGCTGGGGATGGGCCGTATTTTACGATTCCTTCTTTGATTCAGACCCAGAAGAGATCGCGCCGTGGAGAATTTGGATTCAACGCGGTGTTCCGTATAGCAACAACCGTGTTGCTCGTCGAATAGTCGATGGCATACATACCATCTCTACGCATCTCCCACCAGCAGAGAAATTAGATGAAGCAGGGACTACTATCCGCCCAAGATGTGCCATAAAGGTCTCCGACGCTCGGTTCCTCGTTGCACAACGTGGGAATGCCTTTCTAGTGAGCCATAGATATTGATTAGAGCATGATCATGATCATGAGTTCGTGTCGGTGGGATATTCTTCATTTGCTAGGGTAAGATGGTTGGCATCGCTCATTGAGAAGTGCTTGGTGGGCTGCAAGAAGACCAGATTGGGCGGGGAAACTTTGAAGCTCGGCTTTGGTGTCATAACCGTGAGGGGGTTTAAATTCCCAGCAGAGGTACCTACGGATATGAGCGAGCTCTCTGATCTGATTCAAGATCGGATGGCACGTCTATATTCCAATGATGATGGCCCAAAAGAACGTGTCATCGTTGCCTTGACCGCTGGGAATCGTCATTCGCGGTGGCTAGCACTTATGGGAGCATGCCTAACACATTCTCGCCGACTACCTGTACTTAGACGTCCAGATGTATGTACTACGTGTTTTATTACATAAGTAAGCCAGATAGATGGCGAAATTCTCTTAGTACTTTAGGTGTCTTTAATTATCTATTAAATTATATGGTTTTTTTCCCCTACTGTAAGAAAAAGTAGAAAGAAAAAAGAAAAACAAGTCTAAATATAAATTGATTAATTAATTACTAATAAACGTTAGATAAAGATAAGTATATAAGTACTAGCCTTTAGAAACTTTAGATCTAGATAAATAATAATTAAATAAGATATATCTTTTTATATTAAAAGAAATAAACGTATAACTAATATACTTTTATTTCTTATCTTAATTAAATATTATAATACTTAAAGATCTTTATTTACCTAGACGTTTATCTTATACTATCTATAAATACAAGTATATAATTATTATATAGTACTATAACTAAAGCTAGAGTTATTCTTAGAGTATAATTAGTTATAAATTAAGCTCAGTCTTAGAAATATTTTATAATTTATATTTCTTTAGTAGTTTATCTACTAAAAAAGAACGCTAGCTATAGCTATATATATAACTAGCTAGTATTATTAAAAAAATATTAAACTTATAAAGTATATCTCTTTAGGTAAATTAGAATATATTAAGAAAATCTATATATTTTCTAAAGGTTATATACATATATCTAGCTTTTTAGGTTTAGGATTTCTTATTTAAGCGGTTAGAGCGATCGGAATAATACCTAGATACGCTATAAGACTTAGCCCGACTTACTTTGTACTTACTAAATACTACTATTATTAAGGGCTAAGACTAAAAGTATATATTATAAACTTAAAATCCTAGTGTAACGAATACTCAAACTGGCTAACTAAACTTGGCTGGGTGTTCGCTGGTTGGTATGCTATGATAAGAAGAAGACTATCGGGTTGTTCACTTGGAAGTGAACTCGTTACTTGTATCAAAGATGTCAAACTAATATGATAAGATTGATAACTAAGTTGAGCACGAAGCTCCTATCTAATGGCAGACGTGCCAGTCTTATATAGAACCTTCGTTCTCTCTACATCGCCTACATCACCTGTCGATGTAGTCGACCTCCTATCGCTAACATCGACTGTCGATACAGGCGATGCGACTGATCACGTGACTACATACACGAGAAATCCTTGGATCGCTTAGCTAGTCTAAGCATCCCTATTTGCT